AAGTGAAGTATTCTTAGCAATCGAAGAAATGACACTGAAGAGCTTAAAATACAGCTTTCAAGAGGGTTGTTTTTTTTTTTTTTTCTCAGAATTATTAGGCTGCACTTGAAATAACTCAGGACTTCAGTAACGTGAAGGTGGTACAGCTCTGCCAGCGCATGCAGTGTGACTGAATCACCTTCTCTAAATGGAATCAGAAAACTTTTTCCTTTTATAGCATGACGACAGCTGGGGCTCCTTATCATAGCTATGCGTCAGGATCTGGGTAGGTTAAAAGTTGTTTCACTTTCCTGCACTGCAGAGAAGCCTTGATGCTGGTCTTCCTTCCTTTAGGAGCGCTCTGAAGAAGCTACGTGATGGGAAGGCTTTGAGTGGAGGGCTTCACTTGGAGTTTTGCCACCAACTTAAAGCTTGTAACCTCTATTAGTCCCCCGTTCCCTTCAGTCTGTGTGTGTGTGACTGTAGTTGTGCTGGAGGTGTCTGCTGCAGATTCTCACTGCAAACCCAGGCACCTGTTTCCACAGCACTGAGGGCTCTCCATCCATCGTTGTCTGTGCATAAGTGAAGAAAATAGCTTTAATACATTGCAGAAGCATTGGGTGGGGTGTTTGAGCATGGCCACGCTAGCCAGAAATAGCAATTAAATGGATAAAGGGCTCATACTTCAAAAAATATATATTTTTGGTGTCTGTGTGTGTGAGTGAATTGAATGTGTGCCTGCTCTGAGGCAGGTCTCTGCTTTGGGACAGTTTTTACCAGCAGCTTTTGAGCTTGTCTGAGAATTCCTTTCTTAGTTCCATCCTCCAGATTTTTGGAGGGACCGCATTGAAGAAAGGGGAGGTGTTGGGGTGTTGGAACTGCGCTGGGCAGGTCACTGGTTGGTCAAGGGGCTTCAGTAATTTTGATAAAGAAATGTCCTCACAGTGCGTGGTGGTGGTTACACAATATGGGCACACAACTATAACCTCTCTGTTGTTGCTTTAGCACTTGGAGGTCATAACTGGTAGAGAGAAGAGAATCTTTGTGCAAGTCTGCATGACAACCAAAAGCAGTAACGCCTGTGTTTGAAGTGGAAGGGCTGCCTGTGTTTGAGGACACTTTGCTTTTCAAAACCATTGGAAAAAAAGGAGTGTGTTGCAGTAGTGCTTTGAGGGGGGGCTGTGCTTTGGCTGGGCTGTGCTCCTGAGGGTGGATTTGGGGGATGGGGAGGCAAGCTACTCCAGGCTGAATTGCTAAAGCGGTCAAGGGACAATCATAGAATCATTAAAGTTAGAAAAGACCTCTAAGATCATCAAATCCAGTTGTCAGCCCACCATTATCGTGACCAGTGAACCATGTCCTGCAGTGCCACACTGGAGAGGGACATCAGAGAGGTTCTGGTGACATTCAAGGAGACATGAGGCTGTCCTAAGGGCCACTGGATGTCCCAGGACGTTGGAACATCTGAGAGGCTCCAGGGGCATTCCATTAGATGTGGGAACACAGGGGTGTCCAAAGAGACACAAGAACATAATGAGCCATAGGCAGGTCTGAGGAGCTCTGGGGACACCCAAGTGTTTGCATGGACACCTAAGGGCCACCAGGGATGTCCAGAGAGACATGGGGCAATCTGAGGGCTTCCTGTGCCTTCTTGCCTCATTGCTTTAAGGATGAGTGGTCCAGCCTTTATAGCTCTCAGTGCACTTCTTCAGCACCTTGCTTCGTGCTGGTTGACTGGGGCATCTCCCATGAAGGAGATGTTAAAGCAGCTGGTGATTTTTGCCTTTCCCCAAGCAGAGGTGGCCAGGCATGCCTGGCATGCAGTGGTTTCCCCTTGGAACAAACCCAGCTGTTAGCAGAGGTTGGCCCCTGGGCTGTGCCCAATGTCCCCACCAACAGCAGGCTTGTTCAGGGCTTCTGCCTCAGCTGTGGGTTGTGGGCAGGCTCTGTGTAGGGTTTGCCTGTTCTGATACAAGAGCCAGTTCAGTGACGACATACTTGGGGTGATTATAGGCCTTTAAAAATCAGTTTGCTTTCTAGAACAGCTTTCTGACAGGAAACAACAGCAATAAAAACCAACTGGTAAACCCCTTGTTGCTGCAGCTTGTCCTTTCCCCATTACCTGCCTGTGTGCCACTTCCCTGTTACCCTGCCAGGAAGCTGAGAGAGGCACTTTGTGTTAGGTGTTTTTCCTTGGGTGTTGCATTGGCTGTTCTAATGGACAGGAAGGCTGTTTTTCTCCCAGGAAGCCAATGCAGTGGAAATGGGGATGCTCAGGGCAGTGCTTCACTCAAGCTTGCATGTAAGCATATCAGATGTATAAAAAATTTGGAGTGATCACAGTATTGGTGTGCATGAGAAATGTGCCAAAAACCCATTGTTTGCAGGTTATCCTATGTTACTAGATAATAATAATAAAATGTTATTATTGGATGCTCTTTAAATCCTTAAAAACTCCAGTATCTTGATGCTATTTCCCTTTCTTCTGTGCTGATTTGACTGGGCTCAGGAAGCTGCTCAGATCTGGGGCACTAATGAATGATACTCTGCCCAACTTGCACGTCAGCAGACCATTATAAACACTGGTGTGGTTGGCTAAGGTTCAAGTCAGTCAGTGTTCTGTGGCTGACTGCATGAATGTCACAGAAGCATTGTCCAAGTGGCACATTGTGTGATATAGGATGTAACTTCCTGATTTTTTTTCCCCTGTTCCCCAATCAAGAATTTAACCCAGTTGCTATCAGTGCAGCAATCATACCACGTTTCATTAGACAGTCTTTGCTTAGAGGAACAGGTTGCCCAAGGAGGCTGTGGATGCCCCATCCCTGCAGGCATTCAAGGCCAGGCTGCATGTGGCTCTGGGCAGCCTGGTCTGCTGGTTGGTGACCTGCACATAGCAGGGGGGTTGAAACTGGATGAGCATTGTGGTCCTTTGCAACCCAGACCATTCTATGATTCTATTATCTTCACATATCATAGTGTCGTCCCTAATGCTGCATTTACTCTCCAGTTCCTCCTGCCTCTCCAGCCCAGAACAGCATTCCAGAAACAGAGCATGAGCAGCGTGTCCCCAAAGGCTGAGCATTCCACCAGCTGGTGACTGAGAGCTGCAATTTGGAGGTAGGCAGTTGGAGGCATTGCCAGGCGGCCTCGTCTGACCCCAGTGCTGCTCACACACTCTCAGAAAATCTTGAGTCACCTGTCACATCCATAAGTCATCGCCCATATGACTAATGCTATTTTCATTTGAAGGCTTTGGAACATGCAGTCTCAAAGGCAGATTCCCATGTGCCTTTGGAAGGATGAGAAGTAGGAATCAGGCTTACAATAGAAATTGTTTCTTGATGCATTAAATAAGTAGCTCAGCAACCGAAACAACTTGCTTATATGGACGAAACCTTGAACTTGAGTAATTTCTGTTGATGGCATTCAGCTGCTGTAATGCCCTGAAGAATTAAGCCAGGCACTATTTAAACTGTCTTTCCTTTAATCTTTCCATGTCTGGAAGGGAGTTTTAATACGAAGGATTTGCAGCTTTGCCAGCTTACCACCCAGCCTGTGATTTGTATCTTTCCTGACCATACTTTGTGCCCTGCTGTGGTGCCATGCCAATCCCCAGCACTCAGTTTGCTCTTGGCAGCACTTGGCATCCCAGGCTTTGCTGATGGCCATTACTGGAAATTCATAGTCCTGCTAAGAAGGTTTGCACATCACACAGCCTCACCGTGCACATCTGTCCCAGTTAGAATGGCATTCTGACCTAGAGCTTAGCTTGAGGTGTTGGCATAATGGGGATGGGTTGGGGTTGAACTTGGTGATCTTAGAGGTCTTTCCCAGCTTTAGTCAAGACATTTTAAATCCCAATTTCCTTTTGAGTATTAGAGCTGCACTGATTTTGTTTATGGTGCTGTTCCTTTGAGTAGAGATGGATAAATGCTTTTCTTCCCTGGTTTGTTTTCTGTTGTTCTAAAGCCAAAGATTTTTCACTTGGCTGGAGAGTGCCAGACCTGAAATACTGCATTCTTTGCCCATGTGTGCAGGTATGTGGTAAATATAGCACCTCTGGGTGAGGCCAGTCAGCTGGGGATGAATAATCATTTCATTCATCTGCCTTCTGTCATTAGTTTATCCCCGGTAGATAACAGGAATTCAAAGGAAGATATCACAGATTGGCTGAAACATTACAGATCCTTTTTCTGAAGCTCCTTGTGTTACTTCAAAACTCAGTAGCAGTGCACTGTCATTGAGAACAGTAGGCAGAAATGGTGGGTTTGGCAACGTAACGACAAGCAGGAGGTCTCCTGTGCAGATGTTATTTCCTAATAACCAAGAAGATGCATTAGTTTCTTATCACTAATTCAGGTAAGTATTACTGTACATATTGTGATAAGGCTGTAGGTATCTGAGGGCAAGTGTTTGACCTGACCCCGAGGATGGTTGGTTGGGTGTTGTTGCACTTGGTTGTGTCTTCTGCTATGAGTGGTCTGGGCCTGATGGAAGTGTTGGGTCTGACTGGTTGTCCTCTTTTTATTTTATTTTATTTATTTTTTGGCCTTGCTCATTCTCTTGCTGATGGCATCCGATGGTGTCTGATATATTGATGTCTAGGACTTCAAGGTTTCGTGTGTTGTCAGGTTTAGCACACTGAATTCAGTGCCAGCCTTAGCCTTGTGAGCTTTGTCCTTTTATGAAGGCCATCAGAAAAATGTGCTCTGAGAACAGACTTCCAGACAAGCTTGAGAACCTTGACAAAAATCAAAGAATTTGGCACTTAATCTAATTTCCTGCGTCCTGCCCTTTGATATACAAACATGCCAAGTGTTATTGAGCACAAGAATAGAGCCTCTTCACCTAAAGAGGGATGGTTGTATTTATGGGTGGTAGCATCTCCCTTTACTGCACGTTCAAATGATCCCTTCATAGCGGATGGACTTTCCTAGATGTCGTGTTTTCATGTATTAAAATGAGGCACTGGATTGAAATCCTTCACTTTAAATGCTGATAATTGCTTTTCTTTGCAGAATATTGGGAGTGCACAGGATTTGGGGAGACGGGAGCACGCAACAATGCTGCTGAAAGGAATCTGAGCCACAGAGCATGCTTTGTGCCACAGTTACCCAGGTATGCTTCAGCACAGTGCTCTGAGCACCTCTAATGAGCCACAGTTGGCTGTGCTTGTTGCTCCATTACTTGTCATCCTGAGCCAAGGGGAACGTCTCAGCCTTAGACCAAAATTATGCTCTGCTTTCATCCTTGCTCTGTCTGGGTGGTGTTTGCAGTTTGAAATCTTTCAGAGCCTTTAACGTATATTTTAATTTAATCTGGTTGCTATATTTCAGCTAGTCTTTCTTCAAATATTATACTGATTTGTGGTGTGAAGCAGGCAGAGCACTTTAGTGTTTATTTTCATGTGTATTTTTGTTGATGCACTGAGAAGATGTGGTGTCAATAAGCCAGGTACTGAACTACATATGGGGAAGTAGGGTTTTGAGATTTGCTCCAGACTGCTGTTAGGAACTGCTGCAGTTAATCTGCTGGGCTTCAGAAGGCCAAAGCTGAGCAGAGGCATCCATCATTCCTCTGTACACCAGCAGTGAGGAACCAATGCAGGTTTTTCAGGGTGTTTTATGATGAGCATGGAACTTTGTAGTGTTTTGCTTTTTGCAGGTTTAATATTGAAAAACTTCATTTAAGTGCAGCCCAGTTCCACGATTCTAATTACATGCTTGTGCTAAATAAGGTGTTAAAGGTGTGAATACCTGCCTTGCAGGATGGAGTCTGGGACCTTTCAAAAGCAGATCTGTGATAGAAGTTCTGGCACTCACAGAGTTACAAAAACCAATAGGACTGGCTGTCTTAGAGCACTGAAAACTTAAAATAATATATATTTAACACAAAACAAAACCCCACACTCACATGATTGTGAAGTGTTTCTGTGGAATAGAAGCTAACTGTTCTTTTAGCACCAGCTGGCAAGTGGGAGTAGAGAAACAAAGCAAACAACCAGCAGAGAAAAGCAGGAGGAACAATAGTGATAGTCTGAAAAGTGACACATTAGGAGAGCAGCATGAAGAATAAGCAACTTGTGTCACAGGATGTTGTGCATGGCAACAGGACTTTTGTCTTCAAGTGGACTTTAGTGTAACTGTAGCACTTGCTTCCTGTATGAGATAGAGCTGTTGCACTCTGAATGCATTTTAATCTCTCCATCTAAATTGGCCTAATAATTAAAAAGAATTTGCTGAAGGAAACGATAGCGAGGTCTGTTGCTCCTGAAAGTGCTTCCTCTTGTTTTGCTGTCATAGAAACACGTGGAAAGGAAAGAGATTTGAAGACGAATTTTTTTTTACCAGGTGCTGAATGCTGTCTACAAACTACTTTGTCGATGAAGGAAGAAACTGATTGGGAACTGAAGGCGCCAACTAGTTCATAATCCTGTTCAACATGCGCAAAGGGGTGCCAAAGGACCCAGAAATAGCTGACCTGTTCTACAAAGATGATCCTGAAGAAATATTTGTGGGTTTACATGAAATCGGACACGGAAGTTTTGGAGCGGTTTACTTTGTAAGTACGATTCTTTCCTCTTTTTTGGAAGATAAAACCATGCTAAGGTTTTCAAGGAACATCCTTTCAGCTCTTAGTGCTTTGTGTGTATGAGTTTGTTTGTTACACAGCTTGGAAATAAGTGTCTCCAGAGCACTCCTGAGCTCTTTCCTGTTGCAGCTGTATTTATAGTATATATATATATAGGCAGCTAACTACAGGCATAACACATCCAACCATACAGGTTGAGTGCATGGTACCTGGTGCTGTCAGATGCTGAAAACTGAATCAAGGCAGTTGGAAATAAATTGGTCAAACTGGAATTTCAAGACACACTGCTTGGTGCTTGTAAATCATTGCAAATAAATGTATCTAGTGAATTAATGATTCAAAGTGCTTTTAGAGTTGAAAGCTAATTCTATTAGCGAATTGTGCTTGTTGCTGTTTGAGTAAAGATTTTGTGGAAGTAGCATTAAATTACTTTCAGACTTCCTGAGTGATTTCTCTGCTGTTCTGATAATTTAGGAGTTGGAGATATCTTTGGAATGCTATCTTGCTTTGTCATCCTCATTTTCTTTATGTTTATGACATACCATACTATCTTCAATAGCAGATGCTTTCAGTGGCAAAAGCAAAGAGAAAGTCTTATGAGAAGTGGGAATTCAAGAGGAAAGCAGGTACTGTTTTGATTGATAGCCAAGAGAATTTAATCTGGAAGGTGAGAAGAATAGTGCTTTTACAATTAGAGAGAAACAAAGCCAAATCCAAGATACTGGACTTGGAAGTAATTATAATCCAGCCCTTATCAGTGAAAATTAAATAGAATTCAGTATCAAAAAATAGGTCAAACACAAATGACAGTTGCTGAGTAGCATGTCCTGACACTCCAGAAGATCAAGTGCACCACAACTGAAAGTTTAGAATATCAGACATTAATGCAATTAGATAAGTGCCTGCAAGACTGGAGGCTGTCACACTGTTCACTGGTTGTAGTTTTGGGCAGCAGTGAAGGTGCTGGTGGAACCAAAGGGGTTTTCTGCTATGGGGATGTTCAGCAGTAGGACAGGCAGGCAGGTGGAAGGTGGCAGTGTAATATTAAGTGTACTGCATGCTAAGAGGGTGAGGCTGTAAAATTTACAAGGTGTGTTGATCCGCTCTGTAAGAAGAGGAAGGGCTTTTCAGACAGGAGTAGGGAGATCCTGCTCACTGCATTTCCCAGATGGGGAAAAGGATGCGTGATGTGCTTTATGGCAGTGGTGAAGTTGCTTTCTTTGTCCTTCAGCTCCTCGTGCTTCCAGGGAAAGAGAGTGAGGAGTAGCAGAGATCTAATCTACCAAGCTGCCTTACAAGAGAAATCTTGCTATGGTTAGGTAGGAGACTTCTGTGGTTCCCCAGAACTTTTCTTCCTCCACCTCCTATATACTTTACCAGCTCTGTGTTGGAGAGTTGAGCTCGGTTCCTCCCTGGCTGATCATTATATAATATTTCTGAATACTGTGGGGCTTTTATGCAGTTCAGTGCTGCTTCTCTGACAGAACTAAATACCGTGGGCAAGCTGGGCTATGAAGCATTTGACATCGACTTTTCAAGCCTCCTTGAGTTCTGTGAGTTTGTATTTGAACAAGGTAATAAGGAGCCTTTTTTCCTACCAAGAACCTGGGAGAAGAGGAATATTCCTGCCAGGCCTAATTAAAAAAAAAAAAAAAAAAAAAAAAAAAGAAAGCAGTGATGCTCAAATGTGTTGTGTCTCAGGCTCAAATTTTGCCATTCAGAAAATGGCAAATAGTCAAATGAAGCTAGTAAAGGACCTGGGGGCTGTAACTCTGGTGACACTGGCAAGTGATTTTGGTTCTTCAGTGTGTTATTGCTGAGGCTTGGTGAGTTAACTTGGCATTGCTTTTGTTGCTAGAAAGAAATGCTTCTTACAGCAACAGCTCCATCCACAGCTGAGAGAACATGACAGCAGCTTAATGGGGCAGTTATACCTTTAGCAAGAAATTGTGGCTGACATGAGAGATTGCATGTTCACCTGAAGAGACCTGGAGTTAGTGGCCGACAGGAATATTTGGAAGTTTGCTTAGAACACCAGCATGAGCTCATCTGTGTGAGTGAAACACTTGTGCTGAATGAGGACAGTGAGTGGTTCTTGAAACTTCTTAGCCAGAAGTTACTTGCTTCCAGCTTTCTCTGACTGGTTTGATGAGCAGTGTGTGCTGGAGCAGAGCAGTGTAAGTGTGTCAGCTCCCTTTAGTCATTGCTGTGCTCTCATGGTTCACCCAGTGCCATTTGTCTTTGAAGTCCCTGTATGCATCGTGAAATGGCTTTGATTAATGCATTACTTGAGAGCACGGTACTCATCCTCGTGAGCAGCTGAAATGAGGGGTTACCACATTTAGCTTTATTTTAAGCTTTTGACTGACACTAATTTTTTGTCCTCAAAAGTAAGTGGTTAGAGTACTGGGATTTCCAGTACTCTTAAAGGATTCCTTTAAGACTTAAAATGTTTGGTCCTTAACATGCAGAAATGAAGGCAGTGCCATGCCAGGCAAGCAGAGCTCTTTCTAAAACTGATTCTCAGCCTCTGGTCAGCGTGCCTGTGTCATACAGCTACAGACAAGTGTGATTTTTCTGCCTGAATGGTATTTATTGTATACTGGGACCTGGTGGCTGTGATATCTAAAATACTAAACATATAACTAATCTGTAACAGAATCTGTCAGTGTCCCAGATCTTCCTTTGACATTTCTTCCTTTAAATTAAAACAACCGGATGCCAGGCATCCAATTCTGATGAGTGTTCTCCTGAGCCTTCCCTGATACGAGATGGCAATGACAAAGATGACCTGCAGTTCAGAGGCACTTCTTGTGACTGCTGACACTCATCTACTGCCTGGCTTACTGTTGGCAAGGATCAGCTTAGCTTTGAGGTGTAAGTTATCCAGTGAAGATGGAAAGAAGAACTGGAGTCCTGCTGCGGCTGTGAAGACTTGTATGAGATGTCTGTGGGATCACTTGGCCTGGAAGAGAGCTTGGGATAGCATGGATTTCCATGCAGGAACCAAATGAGCACAATGCTAGCACATATAGCAGCTCTGTTTGGTTTTGTTGTTGTTTGCTTTGGGCTGAAAGCAAATCCTACAGCCTGTTTGAGCACTGAGTTGTGTATCAGCTCTCTGACATACTTGTTTGAAGATGTGTGTTTTTGTATTAAAATCCATCGTGTTTGGGTCTGGCAATTTTTCTTGCAAATGTAAATGTCCTGAGTTTTTTTCTGGCCTGCTTCTAAAATTGATTTCACAGTGGTTGTTTGGATGAGGTTTGCATTGATATGGCTCCGTAATTTGACATCTGCTCAACTACCAACAGCAAAGAGCACAACTGTGTGCAGATTGCCTACATTAGGTGACCCAATTTCACAAGTGACGTGAATTACACATTCCTTTTGTTGCTATAAATCCATTCCTGAAATCTTTATTTTGTGATAACAGCCCAAGAACACAAAAATAATTTGCTTTATAACAACTGTGGCAGTAAGAGAAGGTCTACTCCCCAACGTGGGTTGTCTTCAGCTATTGGAACATCCAAAGCCACCTTGCTTGAAGTACATAAATCGATTGTTTGAAGAGCAGAGGTTTGGAAAAAACCCAATATTGGATGAAACTGGACAAAAGTGACCTTAGACTCATTGATCTTTTCTGCCTGGAACCAAAATGAGATGCTTTTTTTTTTGCTGTAGAGCAGAGAGTCTAAGTCTTGTAGGCTTTTTCTAAAGATGATGCAGTTAAAATCATTGTACGGCCTTTGCCTTAACATTGGAAATAATTAGACCTAGAGGAGTGAACTGGAGGAGCTGCTAAGCAGAGGAGCAAACTAAGTAATGCACAGGAGTTTTGCTTTTTTGGTAGTGAGTTTGAGGGGAAAGGAGGAATGTTCAACAAAGCAGTGATCCATCATTCTGCAGCCCTTGCACATATGGGTGGTTAGCCACTGCTTTTAAGCACCTTAGGGCATAAGCCTGCTGTAGTGCTTGAAAATTAGATTTCTGGTATGACAGGTATGGCAAAACATCCAAAATAATGGATGTCACTTAATTCAGCCTTTACTGCCTCAGAGACACTGCCCAAATGACACTGTGGTTCTTCTTTCAGCAGTATGCATTTATCAAATTATTGGGATTTTTCCCCAATTTATCCTGCACACCAAATCCAGAAAAGTGAAAACACTTTGCAGTGAAAGGAAAGTTGCTTTCTTTTAATTGAGCTAAATTCCAGTTTGAAGCATCTTGAAACTGGAAGCTGAAATACCTGTTTGACAGTGTCACTGTTTGCATGGTTGGCTTTGGGTGGCATTTTGTTGTGCCTTTTCATTTGTTTCTTTAGGAAATCTTTTAACCTAAAGCTGTTTTTACAGCAGTTTCAATCAAACTGTGTTTTGCACACTCACAGTATGTGTGATACTGGACCTTGGTTTGTGTATTACTGGAGAGGTAGCAAGTGTAGTAAGGGCTGAGGGAGGGACAGTGATTACAGAAAGATAAATAACGCCAGAAAAGAGTGATAAAGTAGTTGTCTCATAAATCTTATCGTGATGCAGGTGTCTCTGAAAGGCAGGAGCTTGCCAGGATGTGATACAGGAGAAGGAGGTCTGTGTTTGCTAAAGGCACAGCTCACTCCACTAGAAGGAAAAAAAAAGATTTTATTTTTTTTTTCCACTTAATTTCTTTTTCCTCCTGCAGGCTACAAATTCCCACACTAATGAGGTGGTGGCAGTCAAGAAGATGTCCTACAGCGGCAAGCAAACCAATGAGGTAAGGTGGTGCAGCCAGTTGTGATACAGCTGTACTGTAAAGCTGGTCAGTGAAATCAGCAGAGCAGCCTTGAGATGCTGCAGCTGTTGCTCACTTCCATAGGAAGCACAGAGGTTTGTAGAGGGAAAATGGATTTATGCAAATCTTGACAAATAGTTCAGTTTAAGAAAGCAAACAGGAATTCAGAATGCTTGTAGGGTGGTTATTTCTGTAATAAGTGCATTAATAACACCTGGGCTGCAGGAGCCATAACCACAACTCACTGAAGTATCAAGTGAAGTGTAGAGCTGACCTGAAACACTGCTCTGGATTTATAATATGAAATTTCATAGGCATGGTATTTGGAATATCAGCCTCGCTTCAATTATTGCTTGTTAATTGCTACTCATATTTGCTGTTGTTAGCAAACAGCCAACTGCTCCTGCCTGCAGCACGTGCTGTAGCTGCTGTCTGCTTTGGGGCATGTGAGCAGCTCGTGGTGCTTAACAGTTGCAATTCTTTGAGTAAAATGTACTGCAAATAAACGAGGGGAAAAAACCTTTTTTTGTTTTCCAGCTTAACCTGTCTTAGGGCAGTCATGCTACAACAGGGATGCAAAGCTTCAGTACAGTTATGCTTTTGCAACTACAACTCTGGTCATCTTGCACCATAAAATTGCCTCCTGCCTGCTTTTCAGCCTGTTCTGCCATGCATAGTACATGAGAGCATGCAGGGGATTAAGTGGGGAAATGTACCCATATATTTTTGTTTTGTTTTCATTAGAAATGGCAGGATATCATCAAAGAAGTCAAGTTTCTGCAACAGCTGAAGCACCCAAACACCATAGAATATAAGGGCTGTTACCTGAAGGAGCATACAGCATGGGTGAGTGGGGTGGCATTTAAGGGTTTGGTATGCAGAAGAATGCATGGCAACCAGGCATCCAACACATGCAGTGTCTTTGCATGCAGCAGTATTCATCCGTTGCTGCCCATTGTCTCTTTCATCTCAAGAAACTTCCAGATATTTTAAAAGGAATGGATGTTTAGGATAGTAAAAGAGATTCCTGTTTCTCTGTAGCAGATCTCTGTATTCAAGCAGGTTAAAAAATTAGTATGGAACATCCTCTATGGTGTCTCCTTATGAACTTCCCAGTTCCTAAACCTTCTTTGCAACAATGTAGGATGTCTGTCATTCCTGGATTTTGCTTGGAGCATTTTGTTTTGTTCACTGCTTACTGCAGTTTCCTAAAACTTCACTTTTCACTTGCTTCTGCAATTCCACAGCCATCCAAATAGCAGCAATTTGTGGAGGAGCATCCATCTTATTACTTAAATGTGTGCTTTTTTTTCTTGCAGTTGGTTATGGAGTACTGTTTAGGATCAGCTTCTGATTTGCTAGAAGGTAAGTTGTATGAAGTCTTCAGGTTTGTTTCTTCTGATGTCCCCTCTGAGCACAGTGGGAGGCTGTTTGCACAGAATGGTGTTTTACAGATGGTGGAGGCAGTCTGTCTGTACTACTCCATTCTGTAACCAGAATGCTTGTGTTTGTCATACTATGGGTGAGCTGAGATTTTCCCAGAAGGCCAGTGCCACATATAATTGGCGTGCACGTTCACAAGTTGTAAAATGAAGATATAAAAGTTTACAGCTGGATTGCTGTAATTTGCACCTTCTCGATGACTGCCTGTTACCTGAATACCCATCATAAAAGCCCAGCCTTTCAGTTTGTAGGAATAACTACAGGTGACTATAAATCAAAAGATGGGTATGATGTCAAAGCTGAGGCCACAGCACCTGCAGAGGGATGGGAGTCTAAGCTTCAGCTTGGTAAAACTGTAACTCTTTGCAAGCCTTCTATTTTGTATCTAAGATACAGTCAGTCAAAGGCACATGTTGGTCTGATTTAGGGATCTATGGAAGATGCTTTGGGGTATCTCTGTAGTATTCTTCAATTCTGTGTTTTTGCTAAGAAGGATGGGGTTGGAAAGGGAAGTTTTCTTTGCTAAGGGCTGAGGCTGTATTTCAAATACAGTGGCAAGCTGTAGTCAGATACATCACCTGGTGCTAGCAGTAACTGTTCCCCTTAGCAGGACTGTGGTTTCACAAATGAAATACACACAAAGGATGTGTGCAGACTCAAAGCTGCTATCGAAGATAAGTGTAATGAAGGTGGTGCCAACCTCATAACTTGCAAAATGGGAGGAGTTCCTCTTTAGAAACGTTCTCAGGAAAAGATCATACTGTACATTCTTAAGTTTTCTCCTGCATTTTTTCCATAGTTCACAAGAAACCACTTCAGGAAGTGGAGATTGCTGCCATCACCCACGGTGCCTTGCAGGGGCTGGCCTACCTGCACTCTCACTGTAAGATACACAGGTAAGGCTGCTGCTGGATGTCCTTCGAGTTACACTGGCTGAGTCTGAAAATCACTTTGCTCTGTCCAAGGAGCTGTAAGGTTCACTTGCTAGAATTTCCTCCAGTGGGCTTGTCAATACACCCAATACCAGGGTAGATTTATAAATAAAAGCTATTGGATGTAAGGAATACATTCCTTCTGAAATAATTCCATGTGGTTATAGTCCAGTGCTAATTCTCTTTCGTGTTAGCAATTGTCTCTGCAGACCTTGATAACAAAGGGTACACCTCCATGTTGGCAGTAAGCATGGACAGGAAAAAACACAGTGTAAATCCATCAACTATAGTGGTGTGGTAGAGCTAGACTACTTTTATGACTTGACATCTTAAGAATTTTTTACATGTGAGTAAGTAAAACTTTATGCTTCCAGAAATCAGCTGCTGAAAGCATAAGACAAGGCTAAAACTGCCTTAGGAGAAATGAGAGCACACACAGGAGGATTCATAACTGATCACTGATGCCAGCTCCTAGAGATCTATCTTTCCAGGAGTTTTGAGTTGTCTACAACCATCTGTCAATGCTGTTGCATGATCCCATTTAGTGATTTTGTCTTACTGTGAGTCCTGCTGGTGTTCTGTATCAAGCAGTTGCTGTGGAAGTGATGAGAACTACGTGAGAGTGATGTGAGTGAGGAGTCAGCAGGATGAAGCAGCTCAACACCATTTTATGGGGTTAAAAGCCTCTCTGTAGTCTGCTGGCAAGCTTTAGGTGGAAAATTTACATTGCTGAGACAAAGAGAAATTTGGAGTAATTATTTGTCACATACACGAGGTTATTAAAACAGGCTTAGGGAAAATATTAAGCTAGGTGTGAATGCCAGTTCATAAAATCAAAGTATGTGCACTTATGCATAAGAATACCTGTTCTGAAAGTCTTTGCATACACTCAAAATGTATTAAATTCTTCTCTGGAGTAAATGACTGCCTGTATGGGCACTATGAGAATTATTTTTTTCCTGGTAGTCATTAGGACTTCTTAAAATGGCATAAGGAATATACTGAACCTCAGTTCAGCCTATTGCTTGGCAAGGACAGAGATGGATTGTTTCTCTTTCAACATGGAAAAAGTTGTTTCACAGTTGCAGAGTGACAGTGAAGAAGGTTAGAGTCAGTATCACGTAAATCTTTCCTTTCTGACTGGCTTTCATCCAAAGGCCATTCTGGTTCTCTCCCAGAAAAGAGGACCAGGAAGAGGATTCTGATAAAGCTGTATCCAAAACGGGAGAAGTGAAAGGTCATGAAGCTGGGAAATGGCAATGTAGTGGGAGGAGTGCTGTGCTGATGTGCCCAGCTGCAGGCAGCTGTGCCTGGAGCAATCCCTGCTGCGGTGTGAGTGAGCAGTGGGGCAAGAGAGCAGGTGGTGGTGAGCTGGGACCAAAGCTGGCAGCTGGTGCCTTGGTTTCACTGTCCCACAGCCTGCGAGGCAAAACGTGACCTGGTCTGGAGGGACACCTGGTGGAGATGCAGGAAAAGGCAAGTCCCTGCCCTGCCTCTGAAGTACTTCTTGGGTTCATTCTTGCAAATGCAAGACATTCTTCATACTTCTCCTACAGAAGTGATGGATCCGTAGGTCCAAAACGTGAAGGTGTGGGACTCAGGACTCGTCTGAGTAGCACGTGTGCCAAAAATGTGGGCATGTTGGTTTTGAAGCAGAGCTGCTCTGGGAATGGATCCCAGGTGTGTTGCTGAAGCATTGTAAGGCAGTGCCTGCCTGTAGCTCATGGTCCTACAGCATTGCTGTCCTGTGTGTTGCCCTTTGCAGACAGAGGCATCTCACCAGTGCCTGTGTGCATGGTTGCAAAACTTTGTCTTTCAGCTGCCTGTTCCTCTGGGCCTGCAGGGATATTCAGTTTGTGTTTGATGCACGAGTTGCTGTGCTTCAACTGTTGTAGAATAATTCATTGTACACTCCTGCTGTACAGCAAATACAAGGTAGCTTTGCTGTCCTTATTTGCCTAAGTAGCTTGCTAGGACAGCAAAGAGACATTCAGACTTTGGTACATGCAGCCTGGCTGAGGAATCCTTACACGTATTCTGTTGATTCTGAGGGTCTGTTTTTGCAAAAGCAAAGATCTGAAGTGCTGCCATGGAAAGGCTGCCCTGGCATACCTAGTGTACAACTTGCTTATTGAAGTTCTGTACCAGGGTTTGAAAGAACTTCACTGTGTCCTGATTGTTCTCCCTTTTTAATAGCTCATGGCTGCAAGAATAAGTATTTCAGGTATAACAAGCCAGAAATCCCATTATAAACTGAAGTTCTTCCTCTGTACATTTGCATAGAACTGTTGCCAGGTGTTTTAGGTTCACTCCTTTTGCATATCTTCTTTCTCGCCGTTTTATGGGCAGTTAATTTGTAATTAACCCACTTACTGCTGGATTGAAAAATTCACGGTGCCGAAGGTGTTGCAAAGATCTTGTGTTTTTTGTGTTGCAGTACAAAATGCATGAATTGTCTGAGATTTGCAGGAAGGTAAGGGACCTGAGGGCATTTAAACAATGAAAACAGCACTCCTGGTATCTCTCACATCTGTTTATTAGAGTGAATCTCTTTGATTTCTTTTTCAAACTTCAGCTTTACAGCCATGGCCCATCTCCTTATCATACATCCCATATCACACTTCTTGGGTGCAGTCAGGTTTCTATTCCAAGTCAAGTCAGGTATGTGATCTCTGTCTAGCTTTCTGTAAGACCAGACTTTAGATATTTTCAGGGATGCTATTAATGGCTGTTTAATTGAGAACAGGCTGGTGGCCTTCGCTGTGTCTGTGAGTTTTGAAAGTTGCTTTGCTGTAACCAGAAATGTACTTTTTCTTTCTTTTTTACTTTCTTCAAGGGACATTAAAGCTGGAAATATTCTTCTAACAGAACCAGGTCAAGTAAAGCTAGCTGATTTTGGGTCTGCATCTATAGTCTCCCCTGCCAATTCCTTCGTAGGAACACCTTACTGGTGAGTAAAGCCTGGGGTACTTCACTCTAAGTCTTCTCTCCTGTTTCCAGCACTTCATAATCTGTCTGGCATGAAAACTGTGTTAATCAAACAGTGTTTTTTGTTTACAATTCCTGTGTCCAGGAAATGGTTCTTTCTCAGTACCCATGAGTAGAGACTGATTGTGCAGAGCTTCAAAATGGCACCAGTTCATTTTCTGGCTGTTGTAATACCTTTGGCTTAGAAACAGTTAATGTTTGCCATAGGTAATGGAACTAAGGCAACCATGCAGAGTAAAAGGGAGTTCTGTTAATCCATGCCTGCAGACTGGAAGTCAGATATCTGTGTGAATTCTGTGTTTGAAGAGACTTGCTGAAGAGTCACTTGAGCTGCTTTACATTCCTAACTAACATGGGGAACCAGCATAGCTTTACACTGCACTTATTTTGTGGTGGACACCCCATGCCCTGATGGGAAGTTGTGTATCATCCAACTTCTGAACAACTTTGTTTGGCAAGAATCTTTGTCTTTGAAGAACAAAACCTGCAAGGTTGAATTCCTGCAGGCTGGGCCTGCTGCTTGTTTCCCCTCTACTTACTTTATTCTTAGCCTCTGGATTTCCCTGTTCTTTCCATAGCCACACTCAAGGCTGCATTTGCCTGCATGAAAATTCTCCTGGTGTGCCAGTGGAAAACCTGCCATCTCTGGTGAGGGTACAAGTGATGGCTTTAGGACTTCCTCAGCCCCTGCAGTCTGCCTGCAGGTACAAGGCCTTTGAGGCTGGTTCCCCATGTGCCAGCATGTTGTGCTAATAGTGAAGTGATCAGGTTGACCTCTTATTTTCTTTTCTTAAACTGTCTTCTGGAAGAGTAGCTCATGCAGGCAAGCACTGTTTTGTTTCAGTGTGGTTTTACTGAGCTCCCTGCTGACTCTTCAAGTTCTGGTTGGCTGTGCTGCTGAAGCTGATGGAGCCATCTCATTTTTAAGCTGTGTGCTGGGAGTCACTTTTTGCATCTTCTGACCTGTGTGTTTTGCACTGTGGTTGGTAGGATGGCACCAGAGGTGATCCTTGCTATGGATGAAGGACAGTACGATGGAAAGGTGGATGTCTGGTCTCTTGGGATCACATGTATTGAGTTAGGTGAGTAAATGCTTTGCAACTGAAATGAATAATCACTGCATTTAATATTTAATAATATTTAATAATCATTAGAGGGCTGTTGAATTTTGTTTCAGATAACATTTTGTTCTGAACAGTGCATTGTTGACACTGTAGAGCAGCATGCACCGAAGGTACCAGACAGTGTGTTTTGACTTGTTTGGATAAGAAATTCAAGGAAGATAGAGATTACATTTTACAGGGTTGTTTTGTGAATATTGAGCCCCTTTCCAGGCTCTGCTAAACTATCTTTCAGTTTCCAAACCAGTGCTTATTCTAAGGGTACTTAAGCCAGGCTTCGTTCAATGACAACCAGGATGTTGTGCCTATGGAGGCTGGGCTCCATATAATGACAAATATTTTGTTCCATGGAGCTTTTGTAGAACTAAACTCTTCCTGTGCCCATGTAATTGTTCAGATTGATGCTTTAATCTGGCACAAATGTGTCCTGAGCATATCATCAAAGACATGGCCAGTCTTAGGGACAGTAGGTGTTTGCCAAGCATGGATCACAACTCATTTCCCTGAGCTCACTCTGTGCATTAGGAAGAGCCTCACACTGAAAATAGCAACTGTGTTCATGAGTAATACCAGACTCGTGAACTCAAGACGTTGCTAAGAACAGTGGAAGTAATGTTCTGTGTTCAAATTGCTGCACCTTGAGACAGTTTTTATATAGGAATTCTAACTACTTAAATTTATAGACTGATTAAATGTTGATGTGGGAAGATGCATAATGGCCATAAACCAGGCATTTGTACAGGGAGGTTTAATGCACCTCACAAGAAATGTGTGGCCAAACACGAACACGAGTGAAAAAATTCTTCATGGGTTGGAATGAGGGAGAAGCAAACGTCCATTATTTCTGCTGAGGTCTTAGAAATGTCTCTTCCTACTTTATATCATCTGTCCCCTGCTGTTCTGCTGTGGAACAAAGTGCTGCTATTTTTATTTTTGCTCCCAGAGAAGAGGGAACTATGGCTTGTAGTCTGTTTTGGTTTGTTTGTTTGTTTTGCTAACTGGATTTTGAGAAGACTGGAGCAACTATTAGGCCAAGGGAATCGATGTCCTAAGAAGTTTGTGTTAGATGAGGCCTGCATTTAGCTTTCAACTCTTCCTATTATTTCCCCAATCTGGAAAAAAAAAAATAAATGAATCTTCAGTCTCACCTAAAAGTTTGTGATGTGGAGCAATGTGAACAGGTTCTGTGCATGGGAAGAAAAGGGTTTGCACTGCAAGGGGCAGAAGATGCACATGGGTACTGCCTGAAGGAAAGGCAGATGGGATGGCAGATAACAGAGCAGATCCGTGCATTTCAGGTTTGGATATTGACGTTGCATGTGCTTCTCAAGGAGGAGATCTCAGTGGCTGAATAGATCCCGTGCTCCCTATGCAGGCATTCAGTCTTAATAGCAGAATCTGTGTGCAGCTTTTTAATCAAGAGCTGAGAGCTGTGCATGGTTCCATATCTGAGCGTGGAGTTGGTCTGAAGGGGCAGAGATCTCTTGATGAGCAACACTTGGCTTTCTGTGAATACCGATGTCTTAATTTCTTGTATAGCTACAAGTAGTGCTTAAAGACAAGAAAATGCAGTGGTTTGTGTGCATGCTGCATGACAAGTGATTGCTCCCATCTGACCTGAGATGAAGGTTAAAAATGCTGGCATTACTGGATGGCTGGCACAGCTCACACAGCAGGGCAGGTGGGCTCTTCCCAGTTTTGGGGTGAAGTCTGCTGTGTTGTGAGGGAGCTGCTGGGCTGTGTCCTCTTGGGCTGGGAAGAAGTTGGGTGAGGAGGAGCTCAGGGCACATCTGGCTGTGAATGAGGCAGATTGGCTTCCATGGGGGACAGCCAATGACAAAGGAAAGGGGCAGCATCTTTTCCTGAAGCACAGATGGCGTGTTGTAAGTCAGAGCCCTGTTTTGGGCAGCTCCTGCTGATCTTAGCATAGCAGATCAGGTGTGGAATGTTGCAGTTAACGTAAAATGTACTGGAAGCTCTTCCTTGTGATTTGCATCCTGTTCTTTGGATTTCATTATCCCATCTACAAGTGAGTAACAGCTTTCCTCGAGTGGTTGTCCCGGGCTAACCTAGAAGATTAAAATAATTGGCCTAGATGTGATGACAGCAGTAATGAGCTATTGATTTAACAGCAATGCTCTGCTCATACTTCCATATCTTTCTCCTTTTCTTTCCAAACTGCCTTATCACACCTTTCTCTTCTCTTTCTAGCTGAAAGGAAGCCTCCGCTTTTCAACATGAATGCAATGAGTGCCTTATATCACATAGCCCAGAACGATTCCCCTACGTTACAGTCAAACGAATGGTAAGAGAGCAATTACCAGGTGGTTTTTTTTGGCTGTGCGTGGCTGAAGTCTGACAAGAAAAGCGTTTGTTGCAGTGGAGTGGTTTGACTGTGTTCCTGAATAATGCTCCCATGTAGGCAGGCTCCGTTTTGACCTTCTGTCACTTTGGCTGTGCTACAATCTAAACGTGTGGAGGTGTTAATTATGGGGCTGTAGATGCAGCAGGAATTAAAATATTCTTGGATGCACTAAGTCAGCCTTAGCTCAGCATTAGCAACGTTTCCAGCTGCAAAAGAGCTCTGACAGAAGAACTGTTAGCATTGTAGCGCAGCAGAAATATGGAGGAAGGAAGGGGAGATGCTGCTGAGGTAATTAGATACCTTTTCTTTTCCGTGAGCAATTTCAAAAGTCCACAGAGCTCTGTGCCCAGTAACTGCTCCCCGTGCTGCAGGCTTGTGTTCCAGAATCTAAGCTTTAATACAACAGTGTTTTGTTAATGGTCTGAAAGTAAAGGCATTACTCCAGGTCTTGCTCTGTTTACTCAGGAGTGGAATGTAGCCACGGAATGATGCTTGGCAGGCTCTGCAGATGGCTGGGAACAATAGCTCCTGGGGAGGTGTGAAATTCCCCGTTACTCTTAGGCATTTAAGTAGCATAATTATTTCATTGCTGATCATTTTATCAAAACCGCTCCGCATCACTTTCCTTATCTCATCATCTCTCCTTTGGCCATTTTTCAAGATTCAACAAAATTGGTCTCATATCTCCGCGCTGATACTTGGATCCTTCCGTGTGAATTTGCAATGCAGAACAGAAACAACTTGTGAATACAGTGCAAGAATCAGTACTCTTGATTGCAGACTGTTTATGTCACCTGTTTGCTCTCTGTGCCTTAGAGCACAAGGAGCAAGCAAGGTGCCTTTTCTGCTGTGTTTGGGTTCAGTAGGCACCTAGAAGGTTAGCTTTCTTCTTGCAGGCTGTAATACAAGCTCACACACAGCCTGAAGTTTTGCTGAGCTAAGCATGCAGCAAGATGCTTTCCTGAGTCAGTGCTGCAAGTGGTGGGAAGCATCTACAAGTTGGGTCATTCCATCAGCAAGCTTAATGAGTGCATTTCTAGAGATGCTGCAGATTTCAGTGTCATCTGATTTTAAGTAGTTGAAGTAATGCTGTAAACACAGGCTGGTACATAGAGTTTTTATATGGTTTTTCATTGTGGTTGGGGTTATGGTTTGTCTGTGTTCGTATCCACAGTATTTGATTGCTGAAAGAACTGGTGGGATCAGCCAGAATCAGGTAGATTTTGGAGAAGTGCAGTGTTAATGTTTGTGCCCTAGAGCTTTAAACAAAGCAGACAGGATGTGTTTATTTCAGATCTTAAGCTTATTTTTCATCTTGAACTTTTATTTTAATTTACAGGTCAGACTCCTTTAGGGGATTTGTTGATTACTGCTTACAGAAAATACCTCAGGAAAGGCCATCATCAGCAGATCTACTACGGGTAAATTTTCAACTCTCTTTCAGAAATTTGGGGGAAAAAAATTGTTCGTTTAACCCCAAACCAATTCTAGTGATGGTGCATAGTGATGGTGATATTTACCCTTTCCAAAACACTGTTGCTTTTGCTCTTGTCTGTATTGGAAGTGTTTTGGGGTTTCATTTAAAATACCTTTGAAATGTTAAAGGATACGTGTGCTTACTGGCCTGCTTGCCATGGGTTGAATGTGGAATTCTCTGTATGCCTGCTGGAATAAGACTGCATTTTACACATTGGTTGGACCAGATGTGTTTAATTGCTGTGAAGTGAAAGATTTGCAGAAGCCCTGTGCTTGAAGCTGGTGTGAGGCTGAGTTTCTGCCTGTCCCTAAAGGTTGGGAATTCTTTGCCTTTTCTCTGCATTCACCTTCCTAAAGTCTCCCATCAAACTCTTACTAAGATAAGCATTATTTTTCTGGGTGCAATTTCAGTGAGATTTAAGGCGCTCTCTGTGGAATCAACAAGAAATCCTGAAAAGCCATTTTAATTGCCACTCAAAGCCCAGACTTCACCATCCTCTGTGAGCTGCATGGGCAAATCTTGGAAATACTTTGAGAATTATCATCCATGAGATCAGAGGATTAGGACCTTAATAAAGTTTTGCAGATAGTGGCTGATTATTTAAAGAAATGTGAGTGTTAAAGAGATGGGGTGACCAGAGCACGACTGATGCGTGGGGTGCCTTAAAGTGGCACGTCTCATCCTTTGCCAGTGTGATGCAGGAAGATTATCTCACCCTTTTTTCCTCATATAATGGCAATTTCAGCATGATTAGTTGTTTATCTGTCCATAAATTTCCGATCTATTTGCAGTTTTCCTGCCCAGTGGCAGTTCAGCTCTTTCTTTTTGTTCTGATCACGTGAATCGTTCCTTTGGGCTTTTCTGATCTTATCTGGGGGTTGTTTTTGTCCTGACTGGGCAGGCAGTTCTGGCACTAACATGTGTCTGATGGCATGCTGCCCCAGGTGTGGTTGCATAGGAGAGGTTGGCCAGGCTGTGCTGTGCTGCACCAGAGGGGCTTGGGCTGCGTTGGCTGCTGCCTTGTTAGAGATCTCAGCACATTGACTGGTTGGTGCCACCTGTCCATCTCTCGTATTATTACTTAACAAGCACATTTTGCATCTTTTTCTATTGTGGATTTCCAACCATTACACTTTTCAACTTCTCTGTGCAGTGTTAAAAGTTAGGGTAAAAACAGCACTCACAGGTTAGGCCTAAGGTAACTTCCATCCTCTTGTAAACAACCAAAAGTCATTTATATCCCTTCCATAGTTTCCATACTGAACCCAAACAGTTAGAACTGTTTTGGGATGTGTCTTGTGCAGGCTTGTCATTGCTGTGAGTATATGGAGCAGGACCTGTGCTGGGATTGATGTGTCCTCAACTTGTCAGGGTCCTGGCAGGGAACCACGCTCCCATCACTGTTTCTGAAGCCATCAGCTTTCATTTCTCCCCAAACCATTTATCATTCCAAAGGCTTTGCCTTTGGAATATTTAAGAACAACCTTCCTTTCAGTGGTAGGGATGTGTGTAGTCCTGTCCAGCCCCTTCTCCATCAAGCTGCTGCTTTTTTCTTTTAAGTATTTCCTTTCTTTAACATTGATGAGTGGCCCTGCTATTCCTCTGGTTGCCGTGCATAGCTGCTGGTGAGAACTGCATGGCATGCTGCTGTTCCACACCAGGTAAACAGGACTCAGTTTTTCCTTAAATATTTGAGCAGAGGAATTGTTAGCTCCTTAGGGTGTTTTGCTTAATTTCCACAGTAGGTTAGATTGCTGCTCTGTGTCTACCTTGACAGCCTTTTCATGCTGATTTTTGTTCTAAGGCTACCATTCAGCCTTTGTTTTATGGCTTCTCTTGTTGCTTTTTCGGCTCAGTAAAATGCATTCTCATGGATATTTCTGAATCTTTCAGTTCTCAAAGTGAGAAATGGAAATCACGCAGTCGTTGCTGAATAGCTGGCTTTGCACTCGCTTCAGTCTTTGCTTTAAGCCTGGACCATATAGAATATTTAACCCTCACGCCTTCACTTTCCAGGTACATGCTGACAAACGAGCTTGTTTTCATTCTCTTCAGCACCCAGTGTGTTTCCCTGTCATCTGTTTGTGCCGTGCCACTTAGGCAGCGTTTTGTTCTCTGGTTCTGCTTGCAGCACCCCGACAATCCCTTGACCAGCTAATAGGTTTATGTTGTGGGTTTCAGAGTGATTCATTCATGTGGATTGGCAGTCTTTCTGCTCTCTAGGAATAGCACAAGTTCATTGAAGGATATGATTTCATGAGTGCCGTACGCTGGAGTCTGTGCAAACAATTGGAGCTGAGATGGCATTCTTAAATTATGTATATTCCATCTTTTTTTCTTGGATTTTACACTTTCAGAGCAGTCCCCCAGATGTTCCCTCCCGCTGGAAGCATCTCCTCCTTAAAGCCTGTCAGATCATACATTCAACAGCTTGTTTTTTGGGGAGGGTTTTCTGCTTGCATACAGTAAACAGGAATAGAGCAAAAATCTTTGCAGCCACGTTTTCCTAAAGGGATCTGAATGGTAAGAGGTGCTCAAGAATGTATTCTGTTTACCACCCTAGGCGAGAAAAAGGAGAATAACACCCATCTGGCTAATATTCTCCCTTTCAAAATTAGAAGCTGTGATCTAACCTGTTTATAACACTTGTGTTCTTTTGCTCAGCATGCACGGCGTTCCCAGGAGCTGTGGTTCTGCTGGTTACTCTTCCAGCCTTGCTGGAACTTGCTGCTCACCTCTGCATTAACCTCTTCCTCTTCTGGAATCTGTTGGGTTTTCTCCTTACAGTTTGAAGGAAGTGACCAAATGACATTCTTTCAGCCATCATTTCTTCCCAAGCTGTACAGTTGCCTAGCATCTCATACATCTAATTTAGATGGCTCTTTCATGCAGCTGAGCACTTAGAGTTGTGTCTTCCTTCTGCAGGTCTGCTGGTGGTTGGTTTTGTTCCTCTGCATCTGCCATAGAGTTTCTATGGGGCAAATATACACAAATACAGCTTCCCATTCAGTGTTTGCAGTGTTAAAGAACGTGCATAAACCAGTACACAGCGGATAGATAGGAAGAACTCAAGTTTGGGATTGTTGTCCCTAATGCATTACTGCTTTCTAAAGTTTACCTGCAGTGAGATAGAAATGGTTACTTTTTTCTAATCATAAATAAGCTGCAGATTGTCACTTCATACAGAGAAATAAGTGATCTGCACAGAGGAGCAGAAATGAATCATTTTCTTCTGTTTGAAATAGCGTGTGGAATTTTTAGTTACAAGGAGTTGATACTGAAGGGACTAGGATTCTCCATTAACAAAACTCAGATGCACTCCAGTTTGAATTCAATTAAAAACAAGAAATAAGCCTGTGGCATGTTTCTTTCTTTGCTTATGTACAAGTCATTAAAAGAAGATCTTCACATCCTTTCAACTTCTTTGTATTCAAGACTTCTGCCTTAAGGAGGGCTGGGTTTTGCATGCCTGTTGCTGAGCTCCAGTTGGGTGTATTGGTCCTGGAGTCTGAGGGATGGCAGCGGCTGTGAGCAGGGATGCACCTCCTGGTTGGCCAACTGTGGCTCAAGAGCTGGGGCTGGGCAGCCAGGTGTGATACTGCTGGGTGCTGCTTGGTGGATGGAAGCCAGCTGCTGAGCTCACTAACAAAAATCCAGCATGGCACGTGCTGTGCAGGGCAGAAAACTTTTCTCCTATTCCTCTCTTGTTCGTATTTCTACAAGTGATGTGAGTACTTCAGAGCTATCTGAACCAGTGATGGTGATCCCATGTAGAGTGTTGGCTGTCTGCCTTACTCGGAGGTTGGATCAGAAAGGCTTTCATACCCCATTGCCAGCTGTACAGTGCAGGAGAACATGGCTGATAAGTCAGAGATGAGCCTTTAATCACGTACTTAAAATCCATTAAACAATTTATTAAGTCTGCACTTAAAACCTGTGCTTCTTGCACATCCTTTGCAGGAGTTGGCAAAAAAAAAGCTTTGACAATAAATAAACCTTGCACTCATCTTCCTGGTTTGAATTTGAATTTGAATAGGTCAGCTTCAGGGTAACTCTTTGCAGGTAATTGCTTCCTATTTGTCCTTTATTCATTTTCTTCATTCTGAGGACCTGTGCCATTGCAAGGTTTGAAATGGCACTGTCTTCACCTTGAAGGGGTTCAAGAAGGAAAGAAGCAGCTGTTAGCTGAGAGCCCAGAAAAATCTGACCCTGCTTCCAAAAGTGAGTCCGAAGGGTCTCAGGCCTCCCCATCCACCACCCTGCATTTCCTGCCATTGATGCATCTGTGTTTCCAGTAGCAAAGTGATTTTCCCTCATTTTTCTGTATTTGATCACGTTCTGCGCTGAAAGCAGTTCCTCTGACTTTGGAAGAAAGCATTTTGCAGCCTACACTTTGAACCTCGTGGCGGGTAGAGTGATCCCCTCGGTTGTGTGCTGTAGTGCAGTCAGTGCTGAGTGTGTCTGGAGCCTTTTGTAACTGGTATCACTAATTCCTGAGCGTGAGCTGTTGTTTCAGGTGACCCGAAGTAGTCTCTGTTTGTAGATTGAACAGCCTGGTGTCACATCTGAGATCAGATGTTTTGTTTTCTCGAATTCAGCATGATTTTGTTCGCCGAGATCGACCGCCGAGAGTCCTCATAGACCTCATACAGAGGACAAAAGATGCAGTGCGAGAACTGGATAACCTTCAGTACAGGAAAATGAAGAAAATCCTTTTCCAAGAGACGCGGAACGGCCCTCTGACTGAGTCTCAAGAGGAGGAGGAGGTACTTTGGTTTCATCACCCTATTTGCACTCTTCTGATAGACTTCAGGGCAAGTGAGATGTGTTCCTGTCTTTAAGGGGCAGAATGAGAGCATCCACAGCATGGATGTGATCCATCTGGTTGGAATACCAACTGAATACCAACTGAATCAGCAGGGCTAGGATAGGATGCTGAGCATTACCAGCCATTGCTCAATGTTAGATGTGCACTTACTGGCAAAACAACTTGTTGGCTTTTTCAGACAGTTGCCTTTCTTCTGCAAACTTTGGGAAAGAAACTCATTTGGAGGGAGATCCTCTGTGATGAAAAAATAACCCACAGGCTGTGCAACGGAGAGCCTAGAGATGGTCTGAGCTTTTCATTCTCATAGCAAAATCAAGACTGCTTGATTAATGTTAATTTTTATTTTCAATTACCATAGGCTCATTACTTTACAGTAAATTTATCATGAGCTGAAAAGCAAATCGCCAAATTAGTGGGACTTATTTTTTTTTAATTCTTTAATATTAAAGAAAGAAAGATTGGAGATAAAATTCAGCTGCAGTTGAAATCTTGTAATAAACCACCCACTTCATCAGTGTGTGATAATTGACAGTAACTGTGGCTTAGAGAGGGAAACCAGTCATTTTTCAATTGATGAGATTAGGTGGAAATTAATGTCATTTGGTGTAGGCACTTGGCTAAATAAATCCATGCCTGATTCTCAAGCACAAAAATCATAGGGAAATTGCTATATATTCCTTTTTCTTGCATTGTAGCAAGATCACGTGCAGTGAGGTGCCAAAGTCTAACATATATTTGGGGACTTGGCTTTGAGGCTTGCATATGTCAAATGCTCTTTTAAAGCTAGTCTGATGCTTTGGTTTAAGCAGTGGGCAAGCCTGGGTGTCAGGTAGGAGAGTATACAGGAAGAAGAGACTGATGCCTATATTGTCCTCTTCACTTTGGAGAAGGGGCAGCAGCAGATCCAAGCTCCACAGCTGAGGTGTGCTAGTACTGATTGAGATGCATCTTCCTTTGTTCTTCCTGTCCCCATTGCTAAAAAGGATAGAAAAGTGTGTGTCCAGGACTTAACACTTCTAATGAAGCTCACACTCTGCATGTGCACAGCATGCTCTGCACTAGTTTTACCACTGAGCTTGCATACCACCAGAGGAGGTCGTGTTGCACACACAGCAAGAGCAACGACTGAAGTAAAACACAGCACTTGCTTCAGGTTCTAAACTGGTTAACAGAAGCTGAGAATGCCACAAGTTGCTTCTTCTTTCTGCCCTAGGCTTTCTCAGTGCAAGGCATATTGCAAATCCCCTTTTTAACACTCCCAATAATACTAATGCTTTCCTCAGACCTTTTGGAAGAAAGTTGAGACTCCCTGGAAAGTATTCAAGTCAGGAAGTCAGTGTTAAGGTTGCATATACAATCTCATCTCTGCCCTTCCGTGTTTATTAGTGTTTAGTATTATTTATTAGTATTAGTACTATATGTGTTTATTAGTTAGACACATTCCCATCTTAGATGTTATTTCTGTGGCAACTTGGTGTGAACATCCTGGAAATGTTTTCATTTTCCTGTGTATTTTGGCTGCTGAGTGCTTTTATACGGGCTCTGAATGATCTGCTAATTGCTTAAAAATAATCACACAATCAAATACAAATCTGTCAAACTTTTTTCTTGCAGTTTCCAACAAAATGAGTTCACTGTCAATTGATTTGAAAGCATGATTCTCCCCAAGCTCACTTTGGAGGCGAGAAGCAGCAGGGTGCAGGGCAGCCACTCGTCTGGGTGAATCAGAGCTATCTCAGAGCAGGAGCTGAAGGCTCTTCAGAGCTCTCAGTCCTCACTGTGAACTCCTTGCAAGCATCTTCAGTCTCGTTAGTTTATTACAAGGGACTCTGTAATTCTCTGAGTCAGTCCAGATTAAGCTCATGCTCTGGGATTACTGAGCTCATATAAAACCAAGAGAAGAAGATGCTACCTTCTGATGTTCCAGTGTAGAAGAAAAAACATGTCCTGTGTGAGGAATAATTATTTAAGTATGCCTAAGCAGATTACAATAGCTTTAATCATTATAATAATGCAGATTCTTCTGAGTCAGGTGTTTAAAGGTGAACGAAGATTACATAAGAATTTATCTTGGCTGAAAATGCAGGATAGGAGGCTTTTATTAGCTGGAAAGAATAGAATTGCTGACTGTTAGGGACACAGAGGTTAAAACCACCAACCTATGAAGCACCCTGAGATAGTTACCTAATCATAACAGGTGGATTTGTCACCCTACATCTCTTCTGACTCACCAGATGTGACACAGCATACCCAAACTCAGAATGTTGTTTTAATACAAACTTAAAAGTTTGTTCCTTCCTCAGCTGTAGGACTCCTTTCACCACCAATCCACTATTCCTGGTGTGTTCTATTCAAAGCAGAGCCATGCCCAGACCTGCTGAGATGTGGAAAAAGCTGGCCTGGCCCCTGATGTGTGAGGATCGCAAGGAAAGAAGCAAAAGCTAACTGCCCTTTGTGCATTATTTCATAACCCATGCAGTTCTGAGAAAGGAAGCTGCCAAAATACTGAGCAAAAAGCCCTTCACTCAGCAGAGTTGCCTTTAAAACCAACCATGGGCAGTGCAGTCTGCACCTGTTGGGCAGGTGATCCTCTGCAGTGTTTGTAACTGATGCCCCTTGTTTTGTAGGACAGTGAGCATGGATCAAACCTGAGTAGGAAGATGGACAGTCTGGGCAGCAACCATTCCATCCCAAGCATGTCTGTGAGCACAGGCAGTCAGAGCAGCAGTGTGAGCAGCATGCAGGAGGTCCTGGATGAGAGCAGCCCTGAACTGGTCATGATGCATAGTGACGAGAGCACAATTAATTCCACTTCCTCCGTTGTTCAGAAGAAGGTATGTCCTCTAGTGCTCTCCATAGCTTCCTGCGGTCCCTGCTATCGCTCACATTGGCTCTCCTGCATAGGGCCCCATGAGCAGTGTGCTGTGGTCTTGTGCTGAGCCATCTGCTGAGAGCAGGAGCTGGTGCTGGGCTTGCCAGAGTCAAGTTCTGTGTTTGTTCTGTAACGGCTGAGCTGTATGTAGAGAAGCTGCAAATAAAGAGACTGCTAACGAAGGGTAGTGCTGTCAGTGGCTAGGCAGGGCTCCTGCAGACTTACTGCATGCCTCCTCACCCAGCCCTGCATGTGCACCCCTTCATCTCTGCTTCGTGACATCAGTCCTCGTTTCCTTGTGTGTGACTGTACTGTGTTATATGGGATGGTGACAAGTGGTCACAGCAGCTGAGCTAACCATTTACCAGTCACAGTGTATGATTAAAATCTGCTTGCACTTGGATTTCCCTCATGAGAAGTGGAAGTGTGCAGAACATTGGACCCTTCCCACGAGGTATGTTATGAGTCAAATTCCACTCTATGCTTTTCTGCTCTTTTGCTGCATGTTGTGATCTGTTGTCTTTTTGTTTTCGTAGTGCTAGATAGCAGACTGAAGTCGTCCTGCCCTATCTAACTCAGCATCTAATCTGATATTGGCCAAACTGAAATTATTTTGGCCATAGTAGTAGTGTTTGTTAGTGGGCAGTAAGATGTAGGTTTTGTGTGATTGCTTTTTCAAAGGGTTTTCAATGCATTTATGTACTTTTTGCCAACAGAGCTAAAGCATTACAGCAGCAACGAAAGTATGAATTTCTCCTTCATAGCATTATGACAAAGCCTAGTTTTAACTAAGTGTTTTGTAGGCAAGTTTCTTCCTCCTGAAATGCAATATTTGTGTGATTGAACATGGAAGCATTTGTAAAAGGAAGCTCATTTTGTCTCCAACTGAAGCTTGCCTTATACATTTAGATACACTGGAAGATAAGTTGGGTTTGTTTCAGAGGGTTACATTTGCAATAGCATCTTGAAGAAGATAGGTATGAAATGCCACTCCAGGGAACCTTCATGAATGAAGAGTGGCATAACTAATTTTCTGTTCTGGGGGATTCTGGTTATAGCTTTTCTTCATTTTGTGTACATTTCAGGAACATGTATTTTGATTTCACGTTGCCAAGTGGTCGTATTTATGTATGTGTTAAAACAGAGAGATTTGAGAGATTGATTTGCACAATAATACGTTGTAATATTACTGATGGATTGGTGTCATTACAGTTGATGAAAACAAAGCGTGAACCACTTCCATCAGATCTAAATTGCATGTGTTAAAGGAGCAGAGTGCTGTTTGCTTTAATATGGTTATTTCGTTTTGTACTGAAAGGGAGGGAGCATCCTCTCACTCAGTCCTGTGGTTGCACACTGTACATGGGACAGCACTTGCACTGTGAACAAACACGATTACAACACCAGCTGGGTGTTTCTTACATGCTATGGAAGAACAGGATTGCTTACATACCTTTCAAAGAAGGACTATGAAAGAGCTCACCTGTGGGTCAGCTCCAGCTTATGTTTTAGGGTAATTTTGGAAGCACAAACATCAGAGCTTTGTTGATGGTCCTTATGAAGCAGTTAACAACGGGCACCTTGCACAGGTGCAGATGTCAACACAGTTGGCAGATGTTACCTTCTGCTGTGCACGTGCATTAAGTGCATTTGGAATATTGGCAGGACGTTACCAGGCTGAAAATACAGTTTTAATTGAATGTATGTCTTTTTAAAATTATCTTACCATGACGAATGCAATTTTAAATGGAAAACTGCTTTGTCTATGTATTATGTATATAGTAATACCTGTGTAAATACTATAATTGCAACAGGGCATTTGCTGGGGCTTATACATACATGCATCCCATTCTGTTTTCAAGGTAAAATTCCTTATTTGGGGAAAAACCCCTTAAATCTGTACTTGCTCTAACTAGTTCTGTAAGCTGGTTGAGTGGATGCACACACATTGTGTTTTGTTGTACCAGGTGAGAAGCAGGGGGTGCTGAGTTCAGTTACACTCCCTGAGCCTAATCTCAAACAAAATCCAGAGAACCTTGGGGTTCAATCTTAAATTAAGCTTTTGTTTTGCATTTAATCAGCCTTGAAAGGCTAAAAAAGAAAATACAGATGAACGTAATTAGCCAGCTGTCTGCCTTATGTGGGCATAGGGTCATGTGCTGGATTGTTTTGACATGGGTCAAATCAGAATGCTCGGTAAAATTATGGTGTTCCACAAATGTGTTAATTAACGACCTCCAGATGTTCCAGACTGTGTGCACATGCCCACAATGGCTGCATTGCCTGAGCTGTTAGCATGGCTCAGAGCTCGAGGTGTCGGAGGCCTTTAGATTTCATTGCACCACAGCCCCAGTGTGTTCAGTTGAGACCCACCAACTATATGGGTAGCCAAGATGCCAGTGTGCACCAAGCAATACCCAAGCATTTGGGATGGATCCTCCATGAGAAAAGGACACGTCCTCACTCCTTCCAGCAGGCAGAACCTTTGGGGCAGCGCTTTGCTCTCTGCCTTTCTGAGCTTCTGCTTGGAATGCAGGTTGCTCCTATTTGTCAGCAGAGTGAAACCCGTAGATTGGAAGAGAAATGACTTGAAAAGAAGAAAATAATGATAGCCATCCCTAACTGACCGTGTCACTCTTTATGTAATTGAGTTTATAGTTGTATCCTAAATTGCTGGGGTAAAAAAAATATTCTGTTAATGTCTGCTACTTGTGCTGTAAGTCCTGTGTCGTCCCTTTCTGGGATCTTAGCCCTTCCTTGCAATCCAGGGCTTTCCTCGATAGTGTCCCCTCATCAAAGCAGTTTCTTCATAGGATTTTCAGATAATCCAGGTGGGATGGGCTGTTTTCCTAGGAGCATTGCCTTTTCCCTTTCCTGGTTACGTCCCTCATGCAGGGCTCAGTCTGATCAGTGTAAGAGTTCTGGTTTTCCTGCCTCGTTCTTAAAGATAACAGCATGACCGTGCTCCTCCCTTATGTTAGCAGTGGATACACTCTCCTGTTCCCAAAGGGAGATGGAGACTCAGTTGTTCCTTTAGCTACTTCAGGTTGAGAACTGAAGAGTACAAGCCCAAATGCAGCTTTAGATACAGAATTAAAAATGGAAGGGTGAGAGGAAAACCACGTGAACTCCAAAGTCACTGTTGTTTTTAGGAGGTGTACAGACTGTTAGGTGCAGTGAACTACAGACCTGAGGTTTGGCCTATGAATGCAGGCAGTGGTGACCCCATGTGTACCTTCTGGAGCTGTGTCATGCAGGTCAGGGACACGGAGCCTGTTCTGCAAATGCTCCTGATGCTTAAACCTCTCTGCAGATGGTCGAGGCGTTTAGTCCCATGTATTAACATGAATGATGATGCTCCTTTGAATCCTCAGAAGTTAAGGATTTGCTGCAGTTGTATGTAGTGCTCTGCAGTTGCGTGCAAGTCCTTTCTGTGGCTCAGAAATTCCCTCTCCTGTTTGCCTAGGAGATTGGAAGTCCTCCTCGAGTGGAGGTTCCTCTTGTGTGAAGCCTTAGTGAAGGTACCTCTTTGGTGTGCAAAACTGAAGGTGCAACACACAGGCCAACAGTCCTGGGGTGCAAGCTTGATTGTTTCTACTTCAGGCTGCTCTGGTGTGAGCAGTTTGACGTTGGGGAGGTTATTTCTGAATCAGCTGTGAGGACAGTGGGACTCCTTTCTCTGTGTTTCGCACTTATGGATGCTTTGCCAGTGCGAGAGCTTCAACACAGTTATATACTGAAAAGAATGCAAACACCAAATGCAATTCATAGATCTGTCTCCCCGGTTTTGTTGTGATTAAAATCCGAGGCAAAATTCTCATTGATTCATCAGTAGGGAAAAAATCAACTCCAATGTACCTACTGAGTTTTCTATTTGCTTCTGTAGCTTGCTTGTTCTGAGCAAGCGTTCTATTCACATAGGAGGCTTCATTGCAGAAATGGTTCTGTTCTCATGGAATCACTGAATCATAGAACTGTTTGAGGTAGAAGGGGCCCTTAAAGGCCACTTAATCCAACTCCCCTGCAATGCACAGGGACACCCACAGCTGGTCAGGTGCTCAGAGCCCCATCCCCTGACCCTGGGTGTCTGCAGGGACTGGACACCCTAGCGTTACTCAAAACAATCTACATCTTGAAGCAAACACACGATCTGGTAATGCAGTTATCTGGAAGGGGCCTACTCAGAATGTCCATAACACAACTGGAAAGCAAAAGCCATGGCAGGTGAGTTAGGCAGATGTTCTGGTGTTGAGGCAGAGATTGTAAAAACTGCTGTTCTGTGAGGAAGATGAAAAAGGCATCTTGTGGTGGAACCAGCATGGGGCTCTGGAGGTAAAATTGAGGTTCTCATTCCAGGGACTGACCTTGGCCAAGCCGTCTGGGTTTGAGCAGTGATTTGCTGCTTTCTTGGTTGAAATCTTTGCATTCACCCTAGCATATTAATGTAATGGACAGAAGGGAGACAGCTATAGGAGACCTTAGGAACCCGTGTTGCTTCAGACTGTGGATGTGTAACCATGAGTAAGATTTGGCCTGTTGCCATCTCAGTTTTGTAGCTCTAGTAGAGCTCTTGTAGCTCTTGTGTTCTTAGAATCATAGAATTAAAGTTGGAAAAGACCGCTGAGATCTCATCCAACCTTCTGCATCTCTTCAGTCCTTTGTGGTTAAGACATCTAAGTCTTGTACAGATCTGTAGGACAGGATTTTTATTTAGCTTTATTTAGCATGCAGGTGACTCCAGTGTCAGTTTGCAGTTGCTGTCTCTGTTCCCCTTGCCCTGGCCTGCTTCAGAACAATGTGTGCACACGAAGCAATGCTTGCAGGAGCCCTGAGAGCCCTGTGTCAGCCAGGTCCATCCCTGCAGGGCTGCTGCTCAGCTCAGCTGAACTGCTGGGGCTGCAGGCTCCCACCGTGGCAGCAGGAATATCAAACCAAGAGGTGATGTTAGCAGCCAGTCAGCTTCAAATACAGTCCTGGGATTGTGTTTCAGTCCTTACACCTTCTTGCTAGAAGAGATTGTGGCAGAGCTGTAGGAGACGTGGCATTGGTACCCTTCCAGTGAACCCATGAGTCTCAACTGAGTGATGCTGTTGAAGTATAAATGTTTAATCACTGCTTTTTTTGGTGTGACCGTAACAGTCTCAGACTTAACTTCCTCATCACAACATGGAAGTCTGGGTGCACCCTCTGTCATTTGAACTTGCACAGGTTGAAAATCTAAGATCTGCCCCAGATGGACCTTCTGTAATGTTGTCTCCTCCTGCTGAGGATGTGCAACAAAAAGCCCAGTGTAAGGATAAGAAATTAAAAGAAATTACAACTGCTTATTACCCTCTGCATCGATTCACTAGTGCTATGGAAGGAATGTCCCTATAGCTAGAGGAGCTGCTATAGCTGTGGTGCAGTGATGGTCTCAGCCATTGCTCTCCCTGCCAAGGCAAGGGGAGGTTGTGTGGGGCTCAAAGTGAAGGGCTGGAGAAAAAGTGTCTGTTTTAAACGTTTAAAATCAATGCGTGGTTTGGTTCTTTACATCTGTGCTTCTCTACCTGTTGGCCTTTTGCTGGAAAGTATATTGAAGTGTGTCCAGAGAAGGGCAACAAGCAGTGCAGGCTGTGGAGCACAGGTCTTACAGGGAGCAGCTTGTGGAGGTGGGATGGTTTGTTTATCTGGAGAAAAGGAGCTCAGGGGAAACCTCAGTGCTCCCTGTAACTGCCTGGAAGGAGGCTGTGGTGAGGTGGGGATCAGCCTCTGCTCCAAAGCTACAGTGATAGGGTGGGAGGTGATGGCCTCAAGTTGCACCAGGGGACGGGCAGGGTGGATATTAGGAACAATTTCTTCTCTGAGAGTGGTGATGCGTTGGCTGCCCAGGGAGTTGGAGGTCTTCGTCCCTGGAGGTGTTCAAGGGAAGGACAGCTATTGCACTGGCGTGGCCTAGAGCAGTCACAGCCATGGGTTGGACCTGATGATCTTAGTGATCTTTCCAACCTTAACGCTTCTGTGATCCTATGAAAGCAGTTGAATTTGTGCAGGTCCAATCTAGGAGTGGCAGAACACCGGGGAGAGAAGCCTCTGGTGTGGGAGAGAAGTGCCACGGTGAAAGTGCCACTGTGCACGGGCTGCTTGGTGATGGTATGGCGGGCAGCAGAGATGTCACCCAGAGACACCTGCACAACCAGTGGGTCACTGCTGCCATATCCATGCTCCATACAGAGGATACGTGCCCACATGCCTCTACTGTAGGGCTGTAGAAGTGAGCAACGCCTTCCTTTGCACCCATGCCAGCTGGAAACCCGATGTCATTCAGGAAGACTTTCAAGTCGGTCATGGCCATACCAAGCCCGTGCTGGTGACCCAGTGGGATGTGGTGGTGGCTGTGGGCACATCCTGCAGGCTGCCACCTTTCAGTGTTTGTGGTTGTTTGCCAGCAAGCCAAGTTTGGAAGCTGCACGGGAAAAACGTTTGTGTTAAAACCTGTGAGCTGTTGCTTTAAAGGGGGGGAAAAAAAAAAAAAAATAGGGGAGAAAAAAAAAAAAAAAATCCTTTGTGGGCTGTGGAGAGAAAGTGCTAGAAGCGTGCGGGATCATGACTGGAAAGCAGGATCCCTGAGTGGCGGCGGGGCCGGCAGCACGGCCGGGATGCGGGAGCAGGCAGCGGGCGCGGGACACAGCCCCGAGCTGCCGGGGGAAATGAACGAGGCGTCCCGAGTGCCATAGAGATGGGAGTCACGTTTCTCCAGGGATCGCTGGGCTGCGGTGCTTTCGGCCAAGCTTTTTGAAGAGCTCCGGTCACTCTGCATTGCCTTTTTTTTTTTTTGTAATATGTAATGCTGGAGGTTTAAAAAAAAAAAAAAGCACAAAAAAAAAAAAAAAAAATCCTTGCCAGGGATTGAGGAGGCATCCCGCTAGCGATCAGCTGACACGGCGAGCCGGAGCTGCAATGTGTTGCTTATTCATTTCGTACCGTGGGAGCTGCAGGGGCTAGCAGAGAGCTAAACTATGCATTTCAAACAGCCGTGCTTGTGCAGAGAGAGGGCTGAGAGAGAGGCAGCCGCCGAGGAAAGAGCACAGCTGGACTTTCTCCTTGTTTTTATCCATTTCTGCAGGATCATGTATTTATAAGGGATGAGGTGGGCCACAGGGATCGCAGGCCTGAGGTGCGGCCTACCCAGTCGGTGCAGAATCAGGCCCTCCACTACCGGAACCGAGAGCGCTTTGCCACGATCAAATCAGCATCTTTGGTAAGCAGCCCCCTCCTCTGCTCCATTGCGTCTCCCTGTCTCTCTCCGGGAAGGGGTCAAGAATCCTTTTTCTTCTTCTTTCTTTTTGTTTTTCCTCTCTTTAATTTTATTTTTTTCTTCTCCCCCCTTTCTGTTGGCATAGCAACTCGGTGCTGCGCCGGGTGGTATTTTGGCTGTGTGTGTGAATGGGGGAAATGTCGAATGCATGGAATGCCTGTGCTTTCACGCTGCATATCTTTTCAGCAGATGTGGAATCAGCCACGTTTGTGGGTGAAGCTCACATCGTCTCAGGTTATTTTTCCCTTTTTCCCACCCGTCTCCTTTGTTAGAAGCCGTTCATGTTAACGACGGTGCTTATTTGCATGTGCACAAACCGCGGACTGGGTGTGCTGGCGTGGAATACGTTTGGATGCCGTGGAAATGCAGATGGGGCTGGGAACAATAAGATTTGCCGTTTGCAGGGCGAGCTGCTGGTTTTCCATTTATTTATTTATTTATTTATTTATTTATTTTCTCATTCATTCATTCATTTATCTCAGGCAGCAGCAGCAGCACGGTGACTGCATCCCCACGGGCAGCATCGCCAGGCTGCAGCAGCTTACAAAGAGCAAGGGGGGGGGGGGGGGGGGGGGGGGTGGGGCGAACCCAGATTTGTACTATTGCAAATGGGATTTCTGTGGACGCCTTTGTAGTAGCGAGAGGGGTGTGTGCTGCCAGAGTTACAGCCGCACCTCCCGCCCGGCCCCGTACGGCTGCGGGCACCGGAGGGTGCACGGATGGAAAGAGGGGAAGGGAGAGGGTTGGGGAGGCACAGGGACACGGAGTGGGACGTGTTCCAGCCCCACGGTGTTGGAGGTCACATGGATGGAGCGCTGGGAAGTGCCGCCGCTCGGCCTGGCACTTGCTTGGTGTTATGACATCATCCCGGACCAACCCGAAATTACAACGGCGAGCCCTCCCCTTCTGGCTTCGCCCTGGCTGAATGGTTTTTTCTCCCTTCAGCACCACCATTTCTTGTTTCCACACTGCACAGCTCCCAATCTCTGTGCGTGCAGGAGGCAGCGGTGCGTGTGCAACCACAGCTGGAGGCTCTCAACAGAGAGGAGCAGCAGCGGCCACGTTTTTTTTTCTGTACAGCGATTGCTGCCGTGGTTACAACCCACAGCGACGCCGTGGCCGTCAGACCCACCACCAGATGCTTTGCAGGCTGAAATTTGGGGCAGGGCATCCGAGTTCCATCTTCTGCAGGGGCACTCCTGTAACAGCACCCGAGTGCTCCCTGGGGCTGAGCGCCTGCTCCCCCCGCTGCTCTCCTCCTCCCACCAAAGGACTGACCTAGAAATGTGAGTGATGGAGGTTCACGCTGCACACCTGCCACATGTGGCAGCTCTGCTCTCCTGCAGACCTTGCAGGCCTTGCACGTTTTTATTTCATGCGTGCACACAGCACGGTGCCGACACCATTGCATGTAGGAGAGAGTTACATTGGCTGGAAGGGATCAGTGTCTTGAGCATCATCATCCAAACAGATATCTGGTTTGATGGGCAGATGGGTGTGTGTGTGTGTGTGTGTTGAACACGTGTGTGATCCCTTACATGCATCCTGCAGAGTCCATAACTCCTCTCTTCCTCAAATGTGTCATCCCTGGACTACCTGGGTGGCTCCCGTGGCAAGGTGCTGCTGGGAGCTGGTGGCAGATGTTGGCGCAAGAATACAGGCTGTGAGGTCCTCCCAGTCCTCAGAGCACTGGGGAAGGCAGCAGTGCCCCAAGGTGGCTCCTTGTTTCCCATGGCAGCCTTTTGTGGGGCTGCAGCTGTGTCTGCCTCACCTGGTCACTTGGCTGCCCTAAATCTCTCTGCTTCACTTACCAAATGACTATAAGGACAAAATTAATAGCGGGTAAGAAGGGTGCTGGGCTTTCTGGAGAGCTTTTCTTCCTCTAGTTTTCTGTGGAATGTGCTCAGTGTGGCTTGCAGTGCTGCACTGAAGTGAACTCCATGCACAGCATCCTTTGGGACACGGGGCAGTCCCGCTGTCAGCTCGCTGTTACCAGCAGGCTGATGGAGCAGCAAGTGGCACTGTGTGTCATGTGAAGCTTTGTTGTCCCCATCACACGTGTACCTGTCCCCTTCCCAGCACTGACAGAGCTTCCCCAAACCATCACTGGGTATTATGGGGTCGTTACCATGTCCTTAGGTTGCATGGTGTGGGTGCAATTTCATTATGTTTACAGCAGAAATATCTCACTTAATGTATCTAGAGCTGGGCTTTCCCTTTTCACCTCTGTGTGCTCCAAAATGGAAACCTAGAAGAAATTCCAAGTTGAAACCAATTCCCCAGAACATGAAGAGTGCCAGTACAGGTGCTGGGTTTTGAGGTGCTGCTGTGGCTGCCAGTACAGCACACTCTTCTCTTTATCTCTGTGTGTTACCTCTGGATGGAGGAGGCCAGTGTTGATTCTGTTTTGGTCAAAGGAAAACAGTCACACCTGCCCCTTGTCTCCTTGTTCAGTATCTGTGGGCAAGATTTTATATTAAAAATCAAGGGAGCCAGCATGCTTTGGTAGTTCCCTTATTGCTGCTGACTGTCAGTTTGCTCCTCAGCAGCTTAACACTGCTTTTTGGGCACTGAGAGGCATGTAGCCTCAACTGCAGAGAATCAGGAGCATGAGAAAATGGGAGTTTTGAGCTCAAACTCACTGTAGCAGGGTGATATTTGGGTGTAAAAGGATTGCTGACCAGCACCTCTAACAGGAGAGGAGGGCAGCACTGCAGAAGGAAGGAAAGCAGTGAGCCTAGGGCTGCTGGGCTGTGCCTGTGGGCAGACCCAGGCTCCCATAGCATCCATAGGTCAGGCTGTGAATATACCTTTTATACCTTTCCAGACTGTCACTGATGCTTTGCTATTACTTGTAAATAACATATGCATATAAAAATTCCTTAAAATAATAATAAATAAATGAAAAGAACAAATGGGGTTAAGAAAGCTGAAGGAGTGCTCTTGCCTTTTGAAACAAACTCTTACCTTTGTGCTTACCTAATTCAGGCAGCAGTTTGAATAGTCACTCTGGACCATCTTCCTCTTTGGTCACTGCAAATGCCAATCTCAGCCTCGAAGCTGGGAAAGCTGTGTTGAAAAAGAAGGCTGGATGTTCTGCATGCTGATAAGATTGCACATCAACATTTTCCAGTGAAAGGTGTGTTTTTAAATATGTGCAGCGAGGCACTGATTTGCATTTCTGGGTCATGCTTGACCCTTTAACTCTCTATCACTTCTTGCATTTCCTCGATAGCTGCTGTCGTAGTTTTCAAATGAATCAAATGAAATGATGTAAGTGGGGACTCTATCGAAGGCCTTGGCATTCTCTTCGAAATGGAAATGCCAGCAGAAGTGTTCCGTGATCTCATCCTGAGTCTGTGAAGCCAAATGCCTGGGTACATGGGAGCAGCCTCTGGTTGTGGCCATCCACGTGCACCGACTCCTGGTGCATTTACACAGTGGCTGTTCTCTTGAACCTTCTTCTGCTGCAGCTGTGATGTTTTACTCCAGGTGTCGGGTTTCTCATCAGCTCATCTGGCTGCTGTCTGTGTAGATCTTTGCCCTAAAATGCTGAACTTGTTTTTTCTCATCTCAAAGTTCTCAATGGGAGAAGGGCTGCTGGTGGTTGGCGTTTTGCTCAGTCCTCTGCCTCCATCCAGCAAAGAAGACACGGTGTTTCGAGAGGTGAAAGTACTTCTTTTTAGGAGAAAACTCGGTGTCTTGTCTGAGCAGTGTGATGAGATGAAGAAGGATCTCTAAAGAAGTGCTATTTTGGAGGAGTTGTGAGCCTGGCTTCCTTACGTAAAGCAGAAAATCTTGGAGAGTGAATAAGAGTAACTTTGGATTTTATGTGATGAGTGAACTGTGTGTGAGAGTAGGTTGGAGAAGGCATCTGTCTGTCTCAGTTCTGTGTATGCCAAGGATGCAGAGCGATAAGAAACTGAGAAAATGTCACACCTTAATGGAAGCTGCTCTGTTTTATGCAGAGCTTTGGTTGTGCTGATGACCGGACTGATTGCGCCGTGCTTTGAGCGGGGCTTCAGGAAACCACACTTTTCTGCTTTAAAGGATGCTGACATTTTCTGGCTACGTAGAGAACAAACTTTGTGATAAGCATTTCCTGTATCATCTTTTTTCCCATTGTAACCTATGGAGCTATGTTTATGAAATGCTTTATAACTAATTTTCAGCTCTGTTAGACTCTTGCTGTGGCACTGAGCGTTCCCATAGCTGCAGGCATTGCCCATCCAGGCACATCCTTGGCTACTGCCTGGGGGTCACCACATGTGCCAGACCCCAGCCAAGCCTGGAAGTCTTACCTTAGAATCATAGAATCATAGAATTGCTCAGATTGGAAAAGCTCTTAAAGACCGTAAGGTCCAACCATGATCTAACCATACTACCCTAACTCTAACAGCCCTCCGCTAAATCGTGTCCTTGAGCACCACATCCAAACAGTTTTTAAACACATCCAGGGACAGTGACTCAACCACCTCCTTGGGGAGCCTATTCCAATGCTTAACAATCCTTTCTGTAAAGAAGTTTTTCCTGATATCCAACCTAAAGTTACCTTGCTTAACATAGCCAACAGCATACATGTGAAATGCTGGATTCTTGTCTCTTGGCTACATCTGTCTCTTATCATTAACAGGTCTGACTTCTTAGAGAAACTCTACATCAGTTTCATGTGTTTAATCCAGCCAATTTGAAAATAACATCCCCAAATTCCTTGTGATAGCAGGATACGATTTGTGCATCAGCACTTCTTGTGGTTGATGTTTGGCTTTGCCATTGTGGTGCTGGAGTGCAGTATGGCACAGGGCTCATTCTTTGTTTTCTGTGCACAGATGTTTGCTTTCTCTCTAGAGTTGCCTTTATCATAGAATGGCTTGGACTGGAAGGGACCTCAAGGATCATCAAGCTCCAAACCTCTTTAGGAAGGGTGCAGGGAAAACAGGCCTTCCATTTCCTTAGCTTAGTCCTCTCATGACTTTTTTCTGCTCTGGGATTGGCCATTATTGTCTTGGATGGTGACTCCTTGCTGTAAATTATTGTTAATCCATTTGAGGGTAGAGGCCATGCGAGGCTCTTCCTGACCTCTTCACGCTCCTCCCTGATGTTGGTGACACATTGGTGGTACTGCTGAACTCACCAGTTGATGTTAGAGCTTAGCAACTGCTGCAGAACTGCTTGGTTGGCTCTCAGGAAAGCAGCTGCTGTCCTTCTGTTGGCTTCAGCCTTCTCAGGTCTGTGTGTACATCCCATCCCAGGCCTGAACTTATCCTAAAGATCTATGAAAAATGACCTTCAAATGACAGCAGTGCTGTGGTAGGTGCCAGTTCTTCCTCTTGGCTGCCTATGGAGAAATTCATTGGGAAGGCTGCGCTCCTGCAGGCTGCAGGAAGGGCTGTTGGTTCATAAGGCTCCAATAATCCCCTTCAGAGGGCTGAGCTCTGCTGCTTTGGGTCAGGTGTGGAAGGAGACATCCCCTCTTAGAGACTGCAGCTCTACCTGTGTGCTGAGAGCTCCAGCTTTTGGCTCCCAGGGTTGTCCTACAAAAGACGAGCAGATCATTACACGTGAAGTTCCTGAGTCTGTATTCTCAATTAGAAAAAAAAAAAAAATCAATCTTGGCCACTTTTCATCTTTTAAAATGGAAGCATTACCATCCGTGTTTTCTTCTGAAAAATTTTGGCTCGACTTCCTGGGTTTTTTTTTCTGCCTTTCACAGGGATGCACTTAGGCATGGAAATGAATGTGGAACTTGTGAGTTTGTTTCAGCTGAGCGGGGTTTAAAATCTGCTTAGACCATCTGATCAATCTTGTCAAGAGCACACAGTTCCAGAACAGCGTTCCCTTGTTAGAAAACTTTCAATTCTGGTAGGGAATGAGCTCAGTCTTGAATTCTAAGAAGAAATTTTGAAGGAGGTGGCTCATAGCAGGAAATAGGTGTTGAGGGACCACGCTGGAGTAGCGGTGACTTGGGGAGCTTCCAAGGATGGGGGTGAGTTCCTTAAAGCAGTGCCATCTTGTAAGTCCACGTAACCTTTGGGATTTGAAACCTGTCTCCAAGGAAGGTTGTACAGCAGGCACCTTTATTTGCAGACCTCCTCCAGTATTTCCCACAGTGATCTGCAACCTGTTTTCTTTGTTCCTAACGTGACGTTTTCTGCTGTGGCAGTGGAGATGCCACATAAAGTGTTTGGAAAGATGGGGGAAGATTGAGGAGGGAGAAACCTTTTGACCTGATTTGTAGTATTAGATGCTAGCATCTCTGAAACCTGGAGCGGCTCTCCCTGCAAGTTGACCTCAAAGAGCACAGCAGCAAAGCATGGTGTTCCTTACAGGTAAGCAGTTAATAAGGAGGCAGTCAAGAAGGCCACATAGCATTTCTTTCCCTTTTCCTACCTCAGGTTACAAGGCAGATCCATGAGCATGAGCAGGAGAACGAGTTGCGGGAACAGATGTCAGGATATAAGCGGATGCGGCGCCAGCACCAGAAGCAGCTGATCGCCCTGGAAAACAAGTTGAAGGCCGAGATGGACGAGCACCGCCTCAAGCTGCAGAAGGAGGTGGAGACACATGCCAACAACTCGTCCATTGAGCTGGAGAAGCTGGCCAAGAAGCAAGTGGCTGTGATGGAGAAGGAGGTGAGTACCAGTGTGGGCTCCCCAGAGGTGATTGAGAAGTGTGTACCAGCTCCGAAGGGAAAAGCATGAAACCCAGTTCAAATAGTGCTTGAAACCCATGTTTGTGAGCACGTGGTGTGGTTACTGTCTGGAGCTGCCTTGGCCAGTTATTGGAACAGCTTTACAGCCACACACTGAGTGCTGGTGGACAGCGTTGGCATCAAGCAGTGCTGCAGCCACTGACTGCTGGCTGAGGGACTGACACTTGTAGGCACCTGGCAGGGGGTTCTTCTTGTGGCTGTGGCAGCTACAAAGCTGTAACCTGGCAGCCTGCTCCATATAGTTAGTCAACCCGTTACTCCATATAGTTAGTGGGCTTTTGCCCTCCGAGGTGGCTCTGGGAGAGAGAAAAGAAATGAAAGCTCTTAAATGTGTGTGGGCATTCTGTTTTCTTATTTATGTGGAAGCAGATTTCATTTGGCCAAATATTCGTGGCTTTGTCTTACATGTGATGGGAGAATGACAGACCAAAAATGCATAGAGGAAACTGATTTGTGCTGGATTCTGGATTCGTTGCTTGCACCTTCACCCCTATTTTTTTTTTCTTTTTCTCTGTGCCTTGCAGGCAAAGACAGCTGCAGCAGATGAAAAGAAATTCCAGCAACAGATTTTGGCTCAGCAAAAGAAAGACCTGGCGACCTTTTTAGAAAGTCAGAAGAAACAATACAAGCTTTGCAAGGAAAAGATTAAAGAGGCAAGCTGCTGTCATTTTCAGGGCTGAAGGGGTGTGGAATGAACATGAACTAGACTTTCCTTTTGATTAACCTGGGCCAGCCCAGGGGTTTAGGATGCCATCATACATGGAAGCAAATTTAGATTCCTAGCAAGTAAACTGTCAGGAACTGGGGTCATCTGGCAGCATTTCTGGAATAATCTTTAAGCATACTGGAGAAGCCTGCATGATATGTCATGGAGTGGAGTCTTTGAAGCTGAGGATGATGAGGGGAAACAGCAATTCACAAAGAATTCTTCTTCCTCCTTATCTGTTTTCCCCACAGACAGTAAGCAATCAGAGCAGTGATACAGATGTCGCTTGAATAAAAGCCTTGGGATTATTTACATGAACTGGAAAAAAAGACATCAGTAACTTAGTGTTTAGCCAGTGTCTGTCGCAAACTGTGTCCCCAGCAAAATCATTTATAGTTAAGAAAGTAGGGGGGACAAAGGGGATAGCAAAGGGCCCTGTTGGATATCTGATTCAAGAGATTTGAGCTTCAGTCCCATTGAAACGAGGGAAGCTTAAGCCCAGGCTGGACTCCTTTGTAAAGCTGGTACAGGGAGCCAAGGATTCAGATCCCTTGCCTGGACAGACATACCTCCTCTGCAGTGGCGTTTTCTGTATTCTCATTGCTGCACTGTTCAGACCTTAAGGTGTTTGTTCCTACTGGGCACTTTTCCCTGCTCCTTTTGGGGGAGCAGCTCTAGAAGCGGCAGGGATGGCACGGCTGGGTGACAGCCTGGGCTCTGCATTTCTTGCCCTTTTATGAACTGAATGGTGGAGGAGTGCCAGGAGGTGCCCAGTGACTGATGGTTCTCCAGGTTCTGTGTCACAGTGATGCTAAAAAGAGCCTTGTTTTTGATTCTGTGCGTGCAGGAAATGAATGAGGACCACAGCACACCGAAGAAAGAGAAGCAGGAAAGAATATCCAAACACAAAGAGAACCTGCAGCACACACAGGCTGAAGAGGAGGCCCATCTTCTCAGCCAGCAGAGACTCTACTACGACAAAAACTGCCGTTTCTTCAAGAGAAAAACGATGATCAAGAGGCACGAGTTGGAGCAGCAGAACATTCGGGAAGTATGGCACTCTTCAGTTGCTTTCCTACATAGAGTTCTTGAAATTGTACCTTTGTGTCTGTAAGACAGTTTGGTGACTGTGATATTAGATCTCCGTGTTTTCAGTTGCCAAACAGAACTGAGAAAAGTGTAGGAAATGTGTTTTGGGAACCTGTTTTCTATACAGAAATGTAGTTGGCACATGGCTGCTTCTATTTATTAATGGAAGAGGGTGGCATAAGTGGCTTGCAGAAAGAAACATGTGAGCCACCCACTCTGGACCTGAGGGATTGATCTGAGCTCCTGCCCCCTAGGCTTTTTGGGGGAGGGCTTCATTCACAGCACAGGCCGTGCTGAGCATCACAGCCAGCTGTGGGATAGGAGGGCTGGAAGGGCATCGCATGAGGAGCTCTGCTTGTTGGCTGAAGTAAACACTTGTTTAAAACGTGTAATGAAACATTAATAAATCTAGCCTTTCTGGCTGCTGATAGTTGAATGCCAATTTGGAAAAAAAGAATTGGTGCTCCTAGATTTTTTTTTGTATATCTATTTTTCAGTATAGTATGTGAAATCTTCACGGAGCGTTAGGTGAGAAGGTATTTTAGCAAAGGCTGAGACTGAGCAACTGGTCAACCTGTTGTGATAACCACACATTCATTCTGCTGCCATCAGATTCCCCACACACTTAACTGATGAGCTCAAATTCAGTGGATCAGGAGCTTGAATTTAAACAACACTCTTTAAGTGTTGGTTATTTTTTACCTTTGATGTTGCAGGTAAGCAGGAGGTTGTTTTTCTGCGAGTGGAAAAGTGTGTGGACTGGAGTGCTTTCATTTGTTCACACTGGACTTGAAACCAGGTGTGAGATGGGCACATGAGTAGCTGGCTGGCCTGCCTTGAGGCCAAGGCACACATGTCCCAGCTGAACACACACACACTGCCATGTGCTACAAACAGAACGCATTTCAGCATGTCCTTATCTTTATTTTGGCTATCAGGGTGCAAGTTTTGCTTAAATGTGAACTTGTGCAATGTCTTCACAGTTAGATCCAGCAGGTTTGGAGTGGATATTTGCAGGTGCTGATGTTGAGAAGTGCAATGGGATTACAACATGCAAGCAAAAGCTCAGATTAATTAATTATTTTTGCTTCTGCTGCAGAAATTTGTTAGACTGAGCCAACACTGAGCCCTCCATGTCCTGGGCACTGTGTGCATACGTAGTGCCAGGCAGCCCCTGCTGTGCCTCAGTCTAGCATGAAGTATAGTGATGAGTTGGTAAGCTGAGAGCTGGAGCAGGAATGTACCAGCAGACCATCTGCCAAGGTCAGCAGAGCACCAGTAAGGGTACAGCTGGAATCAGTGCTCACCTGAGCTGGATTCAGCTCGTGGCTCTGCAGGTTGTTGGCAATACCTTGAGACAGAGATAATGACAGCATTCAGCACCAGTTATCTTCCTGTTTGTTGGTTTACAGAGTGCTGAAGGTTTTCTTAGACCTGCAGGGCGCTGTGTGCAGAAACAATTGTGTGCATTGCAAAGTAGCACGAGACTTGGGATATATCATCATTTTATCAAATGTACTGCATGTGGGGCCAAAAATCACCTATATATGGTGGCAGATGAAGTAGTTTTTCTTATGTAACGTGCTTTGGAGCTGACCATTTACTTCTTTGACCATTAGTAATTAGTGTATAAGAAGCCTTGTCTCCCATCATCTGACAGCAGCCTGGGGAAACGTGAAACAGACAGAAAAGCCTCCAGCTGTGGGCATGGCTGTGGGTCGCCACCAGCTTTGGGTACCCTAGGATGAGTTAGAAACTTCTGGGACTTGCAACAGCTGCAGGGGACTGTCGTGTGGCCCCAGTGCCACCTACTGGACAGTCACTGGGGGACCCGGGAGCTGCTTTGGTGTGTGAGTTACAGGGCCACGCCAGGTGGCCTCATCAGTAGTGTTCCCGTGGTGCCATGCTGGTTTTGTGCACTTGGAAGAGCTCGGGGGAGTGGCAGAGGCACCCAGCTTTGCAAATTCACCTTTTTTTTTTTTGGTGTTCTGCTGTGCTCTTGTGCAGGAGTTGAACAAGAAGCGGACCCAGAAGGAAATGGAGCACGCCATGCTGATCCGGCACGACGAGTCGACGCGTGAGCTGGAATACAGGCAGCTACACACGCTGCAGAAGCTGCGGATGGACCTGATCCGACTGCAGCACCAGACTGAGCTTGAGAATCAGCTGGAATACAACAAGCGACGAGAGCGGGAGCTGCACAGGAAGCATTTCATGGAGCTCCGGCAGCAACCAAAGAACCTGAAGGTGCTGGAAGCTTTCCTTCCATCCCAACCTGTGTCCTGCCATGCTTTCTGGGCAGGCAGGGTTGTGCGTCTGAGGCTTCTCACGCAGCTTCCGTGCCGCAGAACCAGCATTCTCCACCATGCTCTCCTTTGCATCCCTTCCCTTTGCTCAGAGCTGCACTGATATGAGGAATATGCAAGTAGCAGAAAGCTCACTGAGGATTTCTGTTAAATGCTGTGTTAATTGAGACTGCCCATAAAAATAGGCTGCTCCTTAACGAGGTATGACAGGATTTGCACCTGATAGTCCATAGCGGCCCTCACTCATGTTAGCCTACAGACCTCAGTATGGAAAGGGGTTGGCTGATGCTTCCTTGCTTTAAAAATCAACAAGGGGAATGAACACGGGTGTGCTGAGCCCTGTGCTCTGTCTGGGTTCAGAGCTGCCCTGGGGTATGGCTGCTTCCTCAGAATGTCTGAAAAAGCGTAGTGCTTTTGTTCATTTCCTCACACTCTCACAGGTTCTCAGGTCAGCTGTCTCTGTGTAGTGTCTGTGTAGTGATGAGAGGCAGCTCATGCAGCAAAATGGGAGGCCTCAAAGGCAAGGCCATTGTGCTGTGTGGGAGGCAGGGGGCAAGGTGATGGCTGCAGGGGGCAGCAGCAGAAGACAGTGATGTCCTGGGCTGAGGAGGTTTGGTTGATCCTGTTACTGGCCCAGGCCTGTGGTCAGTGGCACCTCAGCACACACTGGAGTTGCTCTTGGGCTGGTCGCTGTATGCGCAGGGTAGGAGAAATGCAGAGCACAGGGGAGCTGTGGTTGTGCCTCAGGGCTGTGTCCGTTCGGGCACGCTGTGACCTCTGCATTCCCAAAGCAATCTGTGCTCTTCACATCGTTCCTTCCTTGGCAGGCTATGGAAATGCAGATCAAAAAGCAGTTCCAGGACACGTGCAAAGTGCAAACTAAGCAGTACAAAGCACTGAAGAATCACCAGCTGGAAGTAACTCCAAAGAGTGAGCACAAGACAATTTTGAAGAGTCTGAAGGACGAGCAGACGAGGAAGCTCGCCATCCTGGCGGAGCAGTATGAGCAGAGCATCAACGAGATGATGGCCTCGCAAGCGGTAGGTGCAGCGTCCCTGCCCTCCTGCCTTTGGGCCTGCAGGGCTGTGGGTGCAGTCGGGCCACCAGACCTTGCAGCACGACGTGTTCTGTCTCACAGCTGCGACTGGATGAGGCCCAAGAAGCAGAATGCCAAGCCCTGAGACTGCAACTCCAGCAGGAGATGGAGCTCCTCAACGCGTACCAGAGCAAAATTAAGATGCAGACAGAAGCACAGCACGAAAGAGAACTCCAGAAGCTGGAGCAGAGGGTGTCACTGCGCAGGGCACATCTGGAACAAAAGGTGGGTTTGGGGTGGGCTGCTGGCAGCGAGCAGCTGTGTGCATGTGGCCGTAGTTGGTGCAGCCCGGTGGGGACCTGCAGAGGGCTGCCTGTGCTCTGAGGGCGCTGCTGAGGGGCTGTGCTGCCTGTGCTTCTTGCAGATTGAAGAGGAGCTCGCCGCCCTCCAGAAGGAACGCAGCGAGAGGATCAAGTTTCTGTTGGAAAGGCAGGAGCGAGAGATTGAAACGTTTGACATGGAGAGCTTACGAATGGGCTTTGGGAATTTGGTCACATTAGATTATCCCAAGGAGGACTATAGATGAGACGAAATTTCTTTTTGCCATTTAACAAAAACCAGACAAAAAAAAATCAAACAAAATAGTTACAAAACTTGCAAAACCAACATTCCCCATGTTAACGGGCGTGCTCTCTCTCTTTCTGTCTCTCTTACTGACATCGTGTCGGACTAGTGCCTGTATATTCTTACTCCATCAGGGGTTCCCTTTCCCCCTGTGTCAAGTCCCGGTGCAGGACAGCTCCTGGCGGTCTTTTCCATAGTATGTCACAGTATTGATGTCTCTGTGCAATGATTAAAAATGTTTCAGTGAAAAACTTTGGAGACGATTTTAATGGAGAAAAAAAAAAAACGAAAAAAAAAAAAAAAAAAAAAAAAAACCAACCAAACCCAAGTGGATGTTTGTTGCTTTGGAGCAATCACTCATTTTTCCACCAATCTCTGAAAGTACAAGCAAAAAAAAATAAATAAATAAGTGATAGATACAAACCCAGGGGGAGAGAGACGAAATCCGCAGCCTTACCTTAACTAGCTGCTGCATAATTTTATTTTATTTTTATTTTTTTGGTATTTATTCATCAGGAATAATGAAATAATAATAATAATAATAAAAAATTTTATTAAAGATTGAAAAAAAAAAATTTGATACATTTTACAGGAAGACAAAAAAAAAAAAAAACTGAATCGTGCTGTACATATCAGTGGTGACATATTATTACTTTTTTGGGGGTGGGGGGTGGGCAAAGACCTGGTGATTTTTAGGAGCACCGTGCCAGGGGGGGCAGCCCTCGCTCCTCGGCGTACTCTTGATTGTATCATAATCATTTTCTGCTGTCGCAGAGAATGTTGAATACACTTAAAAACGAGCCCACGGGATCCCAGTAGCACAAATTGGGCTTTGTCAAATCGTGTATTTTGTGTATAGAAGGAATTTAAGGAGAGCTTTTACTTATTTTCATATTGTATTTTAACTGTTTCTCTGATCAGAAATTTTTTTACTTCTTTCCCCCCCCTCTTTTCCCTCCCTCTCCCTTCCGCCCCCTCCGCTTCAGTCCTTGCAGCTCAGCACTCTGTCACACCATCCCCACTCCTTTCTTTTCTCTTTCTTTTGGTCCATTTTATTGTTTTATTTTCTAATGTTTCTGTTCCTCTCCCAAGTCCTCCCCCAGTCTCCCATGATTTCGGTCATAAATATCGCATTACTCACACTTTCAAACTGTGTATTTTCTTACAATAAAAAAAAGATGGAA